TCCACCTCTTTTGTATGGTTCAGACTTTGTCACCTCACCTAAAGACAAAGCTGAATTGTTTGCCAAGAACTTTTCATCAATATCATCTCTTGATGCCACTAGTTGCGTTTTACCTGATATACCCGTCAAACAGGTTGATTCATTGCTCGACATTCATATCACTCCAGCTTCTGTATCTAAAGTGATTTCCTGCTTAGACTCTTCTACAGCTTGCGGCCCGGACAACATACCTGTTATAGTCTTGCAGAAGTGTTCTCCTGAGCTGTCGTCTATCTTTTCAAAACTATTCAACAAGTGCTTATCAGAGTCTTGTTTTCCAGCCTGCTGGAAAGCAGCATCTGTTATCCCTATTTTTAAAAATTCTGGAGAGCGATCTGACTCATCTAACTACCGTCCCATTAGTCTTCTTCCTATCATAAGCAAGGTTTTCGAATCTTTAATTAACAAACACTTAATCTCTCATCTCGAATCTCATAACCTACTTTCTGATCATCAGTATGGATTTCGATCTTCTCGTTCTACGGCTGATTTGCTATCAGTAATAACCAATAGGTTTTATTGCGCATTAGATAAAGGTGGAGAGGTTAAGGCCATTGCTCTTGACATTGCTAAAGCGTTTGATAAAGTTTGGCATGCTGGTCTCCTCCATAAGCTTTCTTCTTATGGTGTATCTGGAAACATCTTTAAGATTATTGAATCCTTCCTTTCCAATCGTAGTAAAAAAGTTGTCCTTGATGGACAGCACTCTTCTTCTTATTCTGTAACCTCAGGGGTTCCCCAAGGTTCAATCCTTGGCCCTATACTCTTTTTAATTTACATTAACGATCTTCCAGATATTCTCACATCTAAGGTGGCATTGTTTGCTGATGATACTACCATTTATTCTTGTTACGATAAGAAGCCAACTCCCTCTGATTGCTTGCAGGGGGCATCTGAGCTCGAAAAGGATCTCACTTCTGCTACAGCATGGGGCTCGCAGTGGCTGGTGAACTTTAATTCAGATAAAACTCAAATTTTTTCGGCCAATCGTTATCGCAATAATTTAGACCTTCCTATATTTATGAACGGTAATGTACTTGATGAGTCTCCTACCCTTCATCTTCTAGGATTAACTCTTACTTCTGATCTTTCTCGGAAACCTTATATCAAATCCGTTGCAAAATTAGCATCTGCTAAAGTTACTTCTCTTTATCGAGCTCGCCACTTTCTTACTCTGGATTCTATTCTCTATCTCTATAAATTTCAAATTTGGCCTTGTATGGAATACTGTTGCCATATCTGGGGCGGATCTTCTAATGATGCCCTTTCTCTTTTAGACAAGGTGCAAAAACGCATTGTAAACATAGTTGGACCTGCTCTTGCAGCCAACCTTCAACCTCTGTCACATCGTCGTAATGTTGCTTCTCTTTCTCTTTTCTACAAATACTATAATGGGCACTGCTCTAAAGAGCTAACGTCTCTTGTGCCATCTACTAAAATTCATTCTCGTGTTACTCGTCATTCAATTAAGTCTCATCCTTTTTCTGTTACTGTTCCTAAGTGCTCCAAAAAGTCTTATTCGTCTAGTTTTTTTCCTCGAACATCAGTTCTTTGGAATTCGCTTCCTTCATCTTGCTTTCCTGATTCATATAATTTGCAATATTTTAAGTCGTCTGTCAATCGTTATCTTGCTCTACAATCTTCATCTTTTCTCTTCCAGTAACTTCCAACACTAATTAGTGGTTGCTTGCAACCTTGCTGGAAGCGAAGATAATTAAAAAAAAAAATATTAGAAAGAAAAAAGAATGCTCATCAAGATCATTGATTTAATGCGAAAAATGATATCAAATGATATCAGTCAAATGATATCAAAAAAAAAAACATGCTGGATAATTATTAAGGGCCAATAGTGTATATATACAACCCAGTCCAAGTTATTAGAAGAAGAGTAGTTTTTTTAACAACTACTTGCTTTGCATGAGTTTATATGCAATAAATTTTATATTTAAACATAGCTGTTTAAATATATAGAGCTATATATCCCTCTGATAGGTTGGCTAGGTAATATCCCAGATATGAACCTTATTGAAAACATAATGGAGCTGATAAAAAAGTAAGTGGCTAAATATTCAATTAAAAACCAAACACAACTCATAATCATAAATTTAGCTATATGGATGCAATTATGCTCAGAATACTGTACATAGCTTTAGTAACACCTCATTATGAACTTGCTATATGAGTATGGTTGCCATATTTAAAAAAAAAGATATATAAAAAAAAAGATAAAAACTCAAACAAATTCAGGACCAGGCCACACACCTCTTGTCATCTCTCAGACATCTTAATTATAGCAAGAGCAGGCTTTCCCAGGAAAGGCGTGCGGTTGCACGCCTTGTTTGTCCACGCATAGAATAAATTTTTCAGAAAACGTGACCGCGGCAATATTTCGTGGGAAAGAGAAACTTATCAACAGAGAATAAAAAATAGTATTAAAAAAAAGGAAACCAAGTCTAAACAAAGTATAAAATTGAAATTGGATGTAAGAAAAATATTTTAATAATAAAAAAAAAATTCTTGTAACAAAAAAAAAAAAGTCTTGAACACTTTTTTCAAAATTTTAATACTGTTTTTTTTTTGTTTTTTTTGTTTTTTTTAGGGTTGCTATTTTCAGCTACAAAATTTGATACAAGTCAAGGAAAAGACGACTATAAGTCATTAAGTTTTCATGAAAATAAAAAGACTTGATACGTAATTTATTCACGAACTTTATCAGACAACGTATTAAAAAACTGATTCATTATTTACGCTAGACAAATTTAGTTAAATTTTTTCATTTAACTTAGTTTTTACGAAGGTTTATGCAAAGGCGATGACGTTATTCCCCAATACTTAGACAAGAAAATAAATTGCTGTTTTAATTATTAAATATATTATTTGAGATTTTAAACAACAAAATTTTAATGTGAAAAAAGTTCTCTCGACTTATTCTAAACCGATTATACTGAGTCAATGCTCGCCTTTTATTACATTGAAATTATTCAATTGCATAATTTTGTAATTACGAAAGAAGTTAAAAAAATAACTGCATTGCTTCTGTTGCCATTGTTACGAAAACAGTTCGTTTGGGACATTATTATATATTAACACTTGTTAACAATGTCAATTAATGATTGTAAAATAAAATAAACTCAATCGTTTGACAATAAAATTTTCTTTCATTTGAAAATTTAAAAAAACATATTTTAAAAATAAATAGCAATTGTTTTTGCGCTTTCTTGCGTATCAATACATTTAAACATTTAAATGTATTTACGAAACATTTAAAAATTGTTTATAGTTTTATCATGAATTTTAAAGTATTACTGACTGATAAAAGTCATAAACAAATTTTACATTAAAATTTTATTTTCATTAAACTATAACCTTTTTTTTTTTGATTTTATTTTTCTTATTGATTTGATTTTTCATAGCTAAAATAACTACCACACTAAAAAAAATATATATATAAATAAATAAAATATAGGTAAATTTTTTTTTTAATAATATACATTAATTTTTTAATTTTAAAGCACAAACAGATTTCTGTTATTTACTTTAAGATTGCTTGCATTTTTGCGGTATTTTCATTTAGCTTTGTTTTGGCGCGAATTTTTGAAACGCATAATAACAAAACATGGTCAGTTAGTCAGAAAAATTTATTTTATGCGTGGACAAACAAGGCGTGCAACCGCACGCCTTTCCTGGGAAAGCCTGCATGAGATTAAAAAATACCACATATAACAACCCTCAAAATAAATGGATTAAAGCAATTTTAATTCATATGTTTGAGTTTTTCAAAGGAATGGATATTCTTAGAAATTTAAACCTAGCAAGCTTAGGAAAAAAACTTGAAGTCATGCAGGGAAATACTCAAGAGAACTTATAAAATATTTTTGCCAGCAGCATAACTTTTTACTGAAGCACATAGCCAATATATAGTTTCTTTCATAAAAAGATATACTTAAAGAGTAAATATTTAACTTTAACCTTCCTTTAAATGAAAATAATATTTTGACTGTTGAACAAGGATAATATCTTTAAAAATATATATATCAAAAGGATAATAGTTTGTAAGAGCTAATAAAATAGGGTATAATATCCTCACTCAATTATTTAATCTGCATTTTATTATTTTTTTGCATGTTATATTAATAGTAACTCTTTAAAAAGATCATTCATGTATGGAATCATCATCCTCAAATGCAAAAGACACTACAGTCTTGATTTGATATCATGTTGCACAAAATTAAAACTATAATTGAGCCTACAGGTAGTTCAAAAAAATATTAATATTTGATTGCATTTTTTGTCTTTTTTTTTTTCAAGAGTTAGTAAATACACATTTTTTTTATAACTATGATGTTTTATTTGTGATAAACAATGTATATAAGTAATTTTTTTTTTACATCATTTTCACAATCCTCCCTCAGTCCTAAAAGACCATCATTAAATACATTAACAATGGTATTGTGTTCTATTTTTTTTTTTTTCCGTGTAACCTATTGGGTTTAGTAGGCAAGTTTTGTCTTACTAAACCCAATTTATAATTAAAACTTATCATCATTCCAAATGAGTAACTAATTATCAGAAACATTTTAAATTATAAAATTTATTATTTAATTAATTTACTTAAAAAATTACATAACACTTTTTTGAAAAGTTAGTACTTGTGATATTTAAAATATTCAACAAAAATTGCCATTTTGCAACTCTTATAAAAATTATATTTTTTTCATGATAATATACATTTTTTGATCTAAAAAATACATTTTTCTTGCTTACAGAGATGTTTCTCAGCTTCATCCTTTATCCTTACTTATAAACCTGCAAATATACATAAAAATTAAAACAAAAATTCTATTATCTACAAATACTAATTGAACAAAACTTACCACAACTTATAAACATTCCAGGACATAGTGGGATCCAACAAAACTTTCGAATTGTTATGGAGCTTGGAAGTTTGTATTTCATAATTATTGTATGAGAATCAGAGTCAATTAACCTTATACCAGATTGTTTGGTGGAAACTAAGATATATTCAGTTGACAAAGGATCCCAGTCCATATCAATAACAGGGTCGCTTTCATAAGAGGTCTCAAAATTAACAGTAGGAAGAACATGCTTAGCAGACTTTTTTCCTGAGCATAAGAAAGAAAGACTGCCATTAACATGTCCAAAACATAATTTATTTGAATTTAAACCATTCCACTTGAAAGTTGAAATGCTATGAGAAAATTTGGGAGTGTCATAAATTGTTACATTATTAACTATAGAAGAATAATCCCATAGGTTAAGAACTTTTTTTTCAAGAACAAACGCAAGTGTATTATTATAAAAAGGACACCACTCGAGTGATAATATTTCATTATTCAAATTTTCTAACTTTGAGATAACACATTGACGACAAATATCCCATACAATAACTACTTTATTCAAACAAGTGCTAGCTAAAATGTTTACAGCATTCTTTTTGAAGGTAATTGCAGTAATTGTTTTCTTGTGTTCGCACATTATTGAGTGCAACACATACTTATGTGTAGATTCATCCAGCTTTAAAAAAGTTTTTAAACAAATATGGTTAATTCAATAATATAAGAAAGAAACAAAATAAATAAAATAAATAATTAAACATAAATAATTTTTATACTAACAATTTTTATTTAAAAAAGATATATCAATATATATCAATCATGTAAATATCAATAATATATATATAAATATATATATATAAATATATATATATATATAAATATATATATATATATATATATATATATATATACATATATATATATATATATATATATATATATATATATATATATATATATATATATACAAAGTCTTTCCATAAAACATAGAATTATTAAGCATAGGTTGTATATATATATATATATATATATATATATATATATATATATATATATATATACATATATATATATACATATATATATATATATATATATATATATATATATATATATATATATATATATATATATATATATATATATATATATATATATATATATACATATATGATAAAAAACATAATTTTTTACATTATTATAAACATTTAGGTGGAGAGGCATACATGCTTGATTTAGTTCAAACATTATTATTAGAAAAAATAAATATATTCTAAAACATCACTTCAAAGATTGCAGTTAACAACTTTTAAAATTTGTAAATAAAGATTGTTAAAGTGCAAGAAAATATTTTACATAACTCTTAAAAAGCGATAAACTGAATGAACTATGGAAACATAGAGACAGGAGAATTCTCTAAAGTAATAATGTTGGCAAAAAAAAACTAGATGATTATAGCTTTTTTTTAGAGTTAAGGAAACAGTTGTACTAAAATTTCGCTGAATGACAAGTCACATTTGATTGAACTTTTGATAGGTTAAACAAAAGGCAATAGCTCGTTTAAATAAGAAAACAACTGAATTTTTTTGGGGTTGAAATTCACCAAGGAATTAGTGAGATCACTCTCTAAATTGGCAATGAGAGATGACACTCTAAATTGGCTGCCCGTTTTACAGTAAGACAATACTGTAATCAGAAAGTTATTTAAATAGTTAAACAAAATTATTTGAATAATTAGGAAACTTTCTATTGCATTTTCTGTCAAAGAATTTAAATGATAAATAGCTTTAGCAAAAAAAAATTAAATTTTGTCTAATGGAGAATTAACCTGTTTGTCTGGGATGCCAGAAAGAATGCAGCCATTAGAATAACAAGTCAAATTTGTAAATAATTCTGCTGTCTCCTTGGGGACAATAATAAGAACAGACCAGGTAATCAGTGACAGATGTAATATCAGAATTTTGATTCGTTAATAACACTAAGCAAGATTTTTTTAAAAGATTTTAGAGCTTACCTTCTGAGAAGTATTTCTGAGTAATGAGATTTACATTCTATTGACAAGAAATAAAAATTTTTATACCTACCCATGAACGATTACAAAAACTTTCAGAAAAGTAATTTCAGTTTTAAAAACGTACAATAACGAGGTGAATTGGAAAAAAATTAAGAAGAAAAACAAGATAAAAGTGAAATCATAGCATAATCTGAACTAGATTATAAAGACAAGATGCTAGAACTTCATGGTACTAGAACCAAGTTCAGTTTGATAAGCATTTAATTCATTAAAAGCAATTATATTAGTATATGGACACAAAAGTATAATTAATCCAGTGATCAGAAGTTATATTGAAAAGAGTATAATTTAGGTGTATATATATATATATATATATATATATATATATATATATATATATATATATATATATATATATATATATATATATATATATATATATATATAATAAAAAGGTAAAAAAAAATAAAGAAAAACGTGATGAGTAAAGTGGTGCTTAACAAAAACTCATAAAAGAATTATCAAACCTCATTTCACAACAAATAGTCAATTTTTTATACCTATTATATACTTAGCCCAAACATATGACAATTGAGACTCTGACTTTAAGACTCTAAACTTTTTTAATAAATTGAAACAATTTAGAATTAACAGAACTTTTATTATCATAACAAATACAGATAATTTTTTGAAAGAAAATTCTTTATATTATTTTATCTTTAAATTTTGGACACATTTCTTCTATTTCAGGGTCATATACCCATACATTAATAAATAGGAAATTCAATTCTATCCTTATATTTTAAATTTGGATTTATATCTGGTGACAAGGAAAATTAGAAAATTTTTTATAAACAGTGTCACCAATTTGGTTATATGACCACAGTTCTGGCTAAAAGATTTTTCCACTAGTTTGAATTACGAATTTTATTTTTTAAAAGCTTGGTTGTATGTGAGAAAATATGAGCAAAAAACAACAATCCAACAACATGTGCTTAATTAAATAATCTTATTCAACACTTAACAACAGTCAAATAATGGTCCTCAGGTGCACATCTATATGTGCACCTGAGAACAAAAACAAGGACATTTCAAGTAATTTCAACAGTGTCACTGTTGAAATTACTTGAAGCCATCTCTTTCCTTGTTTTTGTTAGGTTCCAGCGATAAATATGCAGAACTTGTTTTCTAGTTGACACTGTCAATGTCAAGAAGAATTCTGTCGTTTTGTATCCATTGTCAACTAAGAGTTGTGAGATTGGGTGCTAAAGTAATACAGGATGCCAGACAGATGGAAGAACCCAGTGTGTGGCTGGTGCTGTAAAGGATCTCAGGCAAAGGAGTTCTATTCTGCATATTTCAGACTTTTCTATTAGATGAAAATATAATTTAACTACTTTTCCAAAATATTGCTTTTTTAATCAGCTCTTTTTTTATTTAGAACTCAAAATTGCTATAATCTATAATACATTTAATAATTTTTTTACTACAAAAATATACTATTGTTAATACAGGTTAAAGATACTTCAGTTGGAAGAATGAAGGAAAAAGCTATTAAAGAACAAAACCAGAACCTCTCCAACATAAGTGAGAAAAAGGGAATTTTTCAAGAAATAAATGGAGTTGTTTGATATTTCTGTCAAAAAATGCTCCTGAGGTTATTTTGTTTAACAAAAAAGCAGATGATCAGTTGCAGATGACATCACTAGCAGATGATCAGTTGGATGAGAATATGCAACATGGCATTGCCTAAGCTCTGAAAGTAGTAATATGTCCTGACCTGAAACATTTGAACTTGGAAAACCTGTTTTCCCTAAATAAAGCATGGAGAATATTCCCAGTCTACCCAGTTTGGTTGGATCTCAGAGTTGGGTGATTTTTCAACATTTAAATCTAAAGGAAACAGACTGGATGGAAGTTAGCTGCAGGTAAAAACCTAAAAGCCAAAATATTATCAATGGGTTGACTGTCGTCAATGACAGGGCAGAATATATATATATATATATATATATATATATATATATATATATATATATATATATATATATATATATATATATATATATATATATATATATATATATATATATATATATATATATATATATATATATATATATATATATATATATATATATATATATAATTAAAACATTTTTTTATTTTAACTTGGAAAAAATTTAAAATTTAAAAGTAAAAACCAATTATTTAAATAAAAACTACTTACTCTATATATATAAATTGCCAAAGTTGCACAATAAGCAAAATACAAGCCATTAGCAGCACAAATATTATTGTTCCAAGGTTGTGCTCCTGAGGTGAGCACAGCATATTGTCGTAAGATATTCATACCTTTTAACTTCTGTCTTAATTTTTTTATTTAATAATAATTTTTAAATTTATTTTTTATGACAATTTAATATTCATATATTTTTAATAACATATATTTATTTTTTATTGCAAGAAAGTTTCTTCAATGTGAATAAGAAACAAAAATTGTCCCGGTTTTTATAGGAGATCGCAGCACTAAAATAACTTTAATTAGTTTAGCGCTGCATTCTTCTGGGTAAAAACCAGGACAATGGTCACCCTGTATGTAAGAAAAGAAAATTATATTACAAAAATGTTTATAGCCAGATGTTGGAATGATAAAAGAAGTTACAACATAATTATCTGTATAATCTCATTAATATGTTAGAAAGAAAAAATAAAATTAACAATAAGCTAGTATTAGAAATGTGATACAAAATACATAAAATAAAAAATCATATACTAATTATAAATATCATTTATCAATAACACATCTGCACAGAACTAACCAATAATAATATATAGTGTATAATGTTGCCAGAAAACCAGCTTTTACAAAAAAGAACACAGTAAAAAACATATTTTTACAGGTTTGGTACTGTATTCTCCACCATAAAAACCGGACATTTGGAAACCATAAGTGTATAGTGTATATGTACACACACACACACACACACACACACACACACACAGACTTTTGTTGATTTAGGTCGACACTGTCCTAATATATTTTGCACTCTTTAAGTTTTAAAATGCCAACTTAAATCCAGACAGCTTTTTTAAAAAAAAGAATAAAACAAAAAATAATTTAAAAAAATTTTATTTTTGCAATAATAAAGTTCTTCATATCTATACAGTACCTGCCCAAACCCTAACCCTCAGTTAATGAATATTTCAGTATAACATCTTTGATGAAGTTTCATCTAAGGCTAAGTATGCAAAGAAGATTGTATATATTAGAGTGGCTCTTAAAAAAACGTTTTTAAAAAATATCTGCACCCCTTAATGCGTTCTTTATACAAATATTGGATATATAAAATTTTTAAATTAAAAATATTTTCAGGGGTTGCTACAGACCCTTGAACATTAAACAGGTCCTTTATTTCCAAGATATTTCTTAAGGTATGTTAGATTGGATCTCAAATAAAGTGAAACTATATTTAAAATTTTTCTAAAATTAAATTTTTCTAATTAAATAATCATTTTTACATGATATTATGATTTTTATTATACTTTTCTTTTAGGTTCCAGCGATAAATATGCAGAACTCGTTTTCTAGTTGACACTGTCAATGTCAAGAAGAATTCTGTCGTTTTGTATCCATTGTCAACTAAGAGTTGTGAGATTGGGTGCGAAAGTAATACAGGATGCCAGACAGATGGAAGAACCCAGTATGTATATATATATATATATATATATATATATACATATATATATACATATATATATATATATATATATATATATATATATATATATATATATATATATATATATATATAATTCTAATCTATTATTATATGTTTATCGTTGTTATATAATAACATATTATAAGTTACATTATATTATAAGTTACATTAATGAAACAAAAGTTATTCGTTGATTCTTTTTATCAAATTAAAGTTAAGCTAAACTTTTTAAACTTTTATCTTGTATATAACTTTGAAAAAAAATATTTAATTTTTTTATTATAGAAATTATCATCCCTGCTGCTTATAAAATATTGACTTTCATATTCATCCTATTGTCAAAATTGTTCCTATAAATTTAGGAAGGAAAGTAATTTAAATTTCAAGAAAAATATATAAATGTTTTGTTTTTTTAAAAAGCAATTCTTACCGTCTTTAATTAAAAGAAAATGTTTTTATCTAAATTTCAATTATATTTTCTAAATAATTTCTGCTTATTCTTGAAAAAAAAACTAAATCAATTTCGTGAAAAGCAAATAGATCTACTATAACTTAGGTTGATAACAAAAAATATTATATAAAATTAAAAAATGCTAACAATGTTTTGGAAATATTTTTTATTCTGGTTTCTTTTTTAAATATCAATTCATTATGTTGAATGCATTTGTAAATCACTTTTAAACTAGCTCAAAATATTTTAACTGTCTTGCTTTATGTATTTATCATGCACTATATACACTGAAGATATTAATTATTCATTTCAACTGATATCCATGGTCCACGTATATTCAAATAAATGAAACTTTGAATAAGAATTTTGAATGTATATAAATTTAAATAAAGTGCTTTTAAACATTACATCAATACATCATATAAAAATCATTATTAAAAACTCGTAAAGAAATATAATTTATTGATATTGAATATATTTTAAGTTGAATTAATTTTTAAGTCTGCAAAAAATAGAGAAAGTAAATAAAAGAACAAAACAAAACTTTATAATGTATGTGTTCAAACATTTACAATAAAATTTAAAATAAAACACCATAAATAATTTAAATAAACTATTTTAAACAAAATTAAACAATAAAATTACTCCTGCAAATTCTACAAACTATGAAAAGCCAAATATAAAGCTTATTTAACATTATACCCCATTGGGTTTTTACTTTGAAATCTCCATGAATCCTCACACATTTTATTAATATCCCTGTCTGCTTTCCAACCTAACTCAATTGCAGCCAAAGAACAATCTGCATAGTTTGAAGCAATGTCTCCTAATCGACGAGGAGTAAATTTGTAAGGTAGCTCTCTGTTAAGAGTTTTATTCATGGCATTTATTACTTCTAAAACGGAAATTCCATTTCCAGTACCTAGGTTGTATGCTTGATAACCTTGAGGCTTAAGAATTATTTTATTTAAAGCTGCTACGTGGCCGAGTGCAAGGTCTACAACATGAATATAATCACGCACCCCAGTGCCATCAGGTGTGTTATAATCATTTCCATACACACTGAGCTCATTTAGACGACCAACAGCAACTTGTGTAATATATGGCATAAGATTATTAGGAATATCTTGTGGATCTTCTCCAATTAAACCTGATTCATGAGCCCCCACAGGATTAAAATAACGTAAACTGATACAGTGAAAGTTAGTATCAGCATTGCACAAATCTTTCAAAATTAGCTCAATCATATATTTAGTTGTCCCATAAGGATTTGCGCATCCCCCAAGAGGGTGTTTTTCTGTTAATGGAAGAAACTGGGGCTCACCATAAACAGTAGAGGAGGAAGAAAAAATAATCTTATTTACATTATGCTCTTTCATGCATTCCAAAAGTACTAATGTTCCAGAGATATTATTTTGATAATATTTAAGAGGTACCTTCACAGATTCACCAACAGCTTTATAACCAGCAAAATGTATAACTGCTTCAAATTTATGCTGTAAGAGAGTAATGCTTATTTAAAAAAAAAAATTTTGTTTCAAGTGACAAATTAATTTTGACTTACTTTCATAAATACTTCAGAAAGCTTTTCTTTGTCTAAAATGTTAACTTCATAGTATTGAATTTTTTCAATACCTGTGATAATTTCTTGGCGTTTAATGCTTTCTAAAAAAAAAAAACTTTAACAAGACTTCCTAATTTTTAAACTATATCTATTACCTATAAACTCTATTTTATTATCTAATTTTTTTATTTACTAAATTATAAACAAATTAAATTACAAACAAAAATTACAAAAAACAAAACTATATTCTTGTACTCACCAACAGAAGAATTTGAAAAGTCATCAACAATCACACATTCAAACCCTGCTTTGATAAACTCAACTGTTGTGTGACTTCCAATATAACCTGCTCCACCAGTGATAAGTAATGTTTTTTTTTCCATTTCAATTTATAAACTTTTTAGCATTGAACTTTTTCTTTCTAATATCTAAAAAAAATCTGTCAGGAGTCAAGTCTCATTTTTTCAAAATTTGATTAAAATATATTTGCACAATACTAACCATAATACAACAAGATTTTTTTACAAGTCTTTAGTATATTTTAGCCATTTGGTACACAAAAAAAAATAATAATAAAACAAACCATAAAAATTTCAGTTTATTTTTTACTGAGTAAATAGGGAAAGGGATAGTATTATTAATAGTATTGTTAAAGGGATAGTAACTCATTTGCATTTGCTGTATTTCTATACAAAAGCTTATGGTCTTACTTTTTCTAATGAATTTAAATATCTGCTTTTTTAAACAAAATTTTAGCATAAAGAGTCTTTTTCCTTCAGTGGTTTGGACTGTTTGACATTATGGCATTTTTTTTATCAGTATGGAATTATAAACAAGATGAAGCAATTAATTAAATGGCTTTTTCTGTGCTAACTTGTTTTTATGATGAAGTATGAAAATAGTTATTATGATGGTAACCACTAGGAAGAAGTCTAAAAGTTGATAACATTTGAACAACTTTTAATAATAAAAAATTTAAATTATTCTTATTTTTACGCATTTGAAATTATGACTTAAATATTAGTTTTTTTATTAGAAGGAAAACAGAAATTTATCTTAATTCAGTGCATATTTTTATCTCATATTTTTTTGTAAAGCTTTTAAATTTTGTAAAAATTCAAAAACTTTATAAAAAAATATGAGATAAAAATATGCACTGAATTAAAATAAATTTATTTTGTTTTCCTTCTGATAAAAAAAAACTGATAATATATATACTATTAATATAATGTACATTTTGGGCATAACAAATTCGCAAAGTTGTCTGAATGTTTCAACATAATCTGTTGACATAAAACAATTAAAAAAGCAAGCCTAAAATGAAATTAAAAAGATTGCTTATTCACCTTAACCCTGAGTTAATATATGTATAGAAGATTGAAGTATGTATCCTCACATATTTTCCTTATTTAAGTCAGTCAATGTATGTAGTTTCTGTTGGACCTATCCCAAGATAGTTAGTCAATGTATGTCAGTTTGTGCCAACCTCTTAATAAATTACTCAATAAAATAAAAAAACAAATAAAATTGAATTAAAAAACAGCACAACACATTTAAAACAAATAAAAACATTTTGCATGAAAAACATTTTAAAACAAGTCAAAAGTAATTAAAGTGAGATATTATATATATATATATATATATATATATATATATATATATATATATATATATATATATATATATATATATATATATATATATATATATATATATATATATATATATATATATATATATATATATATATATATATATATATATATATATATATATATATATATATAGTATATATATATATATATATATATATATATATATATATATATATATATATATATTGAAAAGTTTATTTACTTCAATAAATACAGGCTCTTAGATACCAAAATAAAATAATTTTATTTCAAAAATTAAAAATCTAACAACAGAAATAAGAAAGAATATTTGAATAAAATTTTTTTTATTCTCGATGAATCAGTACAAAGAACCCTAAGCCAGCCAAAATAAGGTATTTTATTTTTGGATAGTCATTCATAAGTATTGTTACTATGCCAATATAAGGTAGGAAACCATTAGCTCGTCCAACCATGTCTTTTTTCTCTAACCACATTTGTCCAGGTGCATACAAACCACGATCATCTACATTATTATTATCCCCTTTTGTTAAAAATTTCACATAACCATCTTCTCTCTCGTGTACTTTTATGACACGATGAACTATAGGGATTTCTCGACCTTCTATTTTAAAAACGACAATTTCCCCAGCTCTTACAGGCTTAGATTGGTCATGCGTCAGAAAAAGCAGATCACCTCTATAAAAAGCTGGTTCCATACTTCCACTAAGAACTACAACTATTGGACTTTCACTTCCTGTAACAACCATTAAACCTTTCCATATCATTAGGGCAGATGATACAATCATTCCAAAGTTTAGCACTTGATAGAACAACTGACGTTTATTCATTCTTCGCACTTCATCAAACCAACTTGCAATATCCAAGTCCATCATTTTTTATTTTTTATCTTTAAAAAGAAATGTTAATTATTATTAGAATAGCAAAATACTTTTAAAATCTAATTTTAAATAACTAAAAGAAATTTGCCAAGAATTCTTGCGCTTTTTAAAGGATTTTATAATTATGTTATTGTATACTTTTGTATACGACACGTTCAATCAGAGATCCGTTTTTAATACGTTCTGCTTTTTACACAAATCGCCGAACTAAAAACTAAACACTACTGCTCAATTAAGTTTATGTCCGAGCAAATTGGAAAAAAACATTTACTTTTACAATTCTTTGGTCATGAGAGGTAGAAATAAATAATACTTTGTTATTTTATTGAATAATTATCTATGTTTTAATAGTAACAAAAAACCAGCCTAATATTTGTTTCCAGCAAAAAGAGTTATTCTTTAAACATACAAAATTTATCTCCAAATGGTGCTATTCAAAATTTTCTTCAAATGGTGCCCCATCCAAATCCAAAAAATGCCTAGTTTTTATTTTTTTATAGGACAAAAATATTGGTTCTTAAATTTCCTAATACTAATAGCAGGCACGCCGGAAAGGGGTAGTTACTGCTACTCCTTCCCTTTTGGCTGGGGTGGCAAGGGTAGCATGAATATGCTCTTTCTAGGAAATAGATATGGTAATTTTTTTTGTTTTAAAAGCATTTTATTATTTAACATTTCATTACCAATATTTTATTATCAATATCTACCAACTGGAACTGTTAATAGGTGGGATAGATGGTAATAGATTAATTTTTTTTTTCTAATTTTTTAAAGAGAAAACAGTTTAAAATTGATTTAAAGGAAACTTTAAAAAATATTTTATTGAAGAAAAAAAAAGACCAGAATCAATAAGCAGCAGTGGCGCAACTCAAAAACAACTCAGATAAATAAACCAACGTTAAAGAATTTTGTGTAAATCGCAATCACATTTAGAACTAATATGCTTCCAAAAATCAATTCGAAATTAAATAAATTATGTTATATTAAATTTTATTCTTCTTGCTATCGACATACGTTACAACTTTTTGTTATTACGCTTTAACTCTTTATAACTAAAAATTCAGACAAACTTTGAAAATGAATATCTCTTAAACGAAGTTATCGATTTTTTAGATTTAAAAAGCAAATTAACAAAAAATTTGTATTTTACAAAATAAAAATATAACTATTTGTTACCAGTCCATTTTGCCGAACACAGTCAACTTTTGCAAAGGTACTCGCCCCAAGCCTATGTACGTGATTTTGATCGATTTTTTTCATACAATACTCTATTTGATTTTTAGCAGAGATTTTTAGCTTGCCAATTGTCGGTATAAATTAATCTTTCACTCCAAAAATCCTCTATCGGGCGAAAAAAAAATTTACTCTAAAAATCCTCGATCGGGCGTATTTCGGGCACATTATCAGGGATTATGTGTCTAAGCACATATTCAATATTTTCGCCTTTTAGGTAATCTTGTACTTTGTTTGAATAGTGTGCGGAGGCTAGATTAGACCAGAACACAATTTTGTCATTTTTATGAACCTTGTTGATGAACTTCTTTAATTTAAACCGACATTTGGAAATGTACACATCCTTGTCGACTGCTTGACCCGAAGGAGCGATGTAATGCTTTGAGACCCCTTTCTCTGACAAAGCTATCCAAACTAATAATTTCGGCTCATATTTGCCTTGCCACCCCAGCCAAAAGGGAAGGAGTAGCAGTAACTACCCCTTTCCGGCGTGCCTGCTATTAGTATTAGGAAATTTAAGAACCAATATTTTTGTCCTATAAAAAAATAAAAACTAGGCTTTTTTTTTTTTTTTTTTGAGTTTGACCTCATTAGAAGTTGCGTTGGGATCAGAAGAATAACATCCTAGATTGTCAGAAGTTGCACAGAAAGCTCTGTGTGTTGCACAAAGAAAAATACAACTCGTCGTCAATTATCACAAATTTTTTCAGGAAAAGTGCAACTAATTTTCTGCACTTAGGATGCACAGCTATGCTGTGAAACACCAATTCTTTCTTAAAAATTAAAATTTTAAAATTCTTTTATTATTCAATATTTTTTTTACTATAATGTTACAAGGAGTGATCAAAGAATAATGTCATAAATTTGTGCTAATTTTTCAGTAATAAATTGTTTTAAAATTTTGTTAAAGTTTTTAAAAGCTCCAGCATAACTAGTGTGTAGGATTTTCCATTCTTCAAAATCATTTAAGTTGTGAAACTATTTTCTGGGAAATATACATTTATTTTTTGGGAGATACGCATTTATTTTTTTTAAAAAATGTTTCATTTATCTGTAAGTGTATGTTTTTGACTAGGTTTTCTAAGAAACTTATTTCTTGAATAAATTCCAAGTCATTTGAAAATTAATTAGTGTATAAATACGATTTTCAATAACAAATATCAAAATAGTTATAAATTAAAAAATGCAAAAATGCACCAAAAAAACCAACAAAACCCGTTCAATAATAATTACATTAATATTGCCCATAAGTTTCAATTTCCAAAAGTATAGCAATAAAAAAACCAGAAACTTAAAAGCGCAATTTAGAGAATTTTTTTTAGGTCATAATTGATTTACTCCGCGTCCATTGATGTAGTATATTTATTTTTTAATAACGATCATTATATATATAATTATTATTATTATTATTATTATATATTTGTATTTTAAATATTGTAACAAAATGCGTATTTAAAATGTAATAAAAAAAACAAAACCAAAAAAAAAAATATAGCATTTCATTCTACCCGCTATTTCATTTTACCCCGTTTTACTCTAGTATTTTAAAATTTCACTAATTTTGAAGTTTTGAAAATTTATCAGTGAATTTTTCACTAATATTTAAAAATCTTTTTATTAATATGGCTATTGTTATTATTATTATTATTATTACTATTATTATTATTATTATTATTATTATTATTGTTATTATTATAAATTTGCTATTTAAAACAATTATAACTTTTGTATTTGTAAAATATACAAATGGCGGGGGCAAGAAGAAGACAAAATCTTATCGTCAAGACCAAGGTCGGCGCGATTGGGGGTGTGACCCCCCCTTCTCCCTATCAATGATTTTTTTGTTCATCTAGTCGGCAAGTTTGACCCTTTTTGACTAGTTAGTCGGCAAATTTAGACTTCTCAATTAATTTTTTTAGTCATTTAATCTGTTTCTTAGGCATTTTTTTTTTTTTTTGCAGTCTGACCACTTCAAAATTTTCTTTCTGGTTCTATATTGATCTTATTTTGTTGCAGTATAACGTATATGGTTAATTTATTAATAACAACATTTTATTCTCTTCTGGATGCAAATCCAGAAAAGTGTACATTCATTTACGGAGTGTCTCTTGATTTTTCAATCTTTTAGACATGTTTAATTAGGTTCTGAAAAAAAGTAGCATATAGTAGAGGAATAAATTTGCAACACAATAGACAGAATTATAAATTTATAAAACATTGTTAGACATATGAATTGAAGCTTCAAAGTTTGTCCGGATTTTTAGTCGTAACATGTTATATATTCCAAATGTTTTTTAGTAGATATTTCGCCAAAAACTAATAGTTTTTTGAGTTTGTGTTTTTATTTTCAAGAAAAAGAGATAAAAAAAAGAAATACATTGTAAAGACAATAAACAGTTATAAAACAAATAAAGCAATAGTTTTTTCAGTTGGTATTCTTATTTTTGATGATTATTTTCGAGTGGTGATTATTTTCAACGATTATTTGAGTAAAAATTTATCTCTCTTAGTACTTTATTTCTTAATCGTAATCTTAACTTAAAAACGGTTTTAACTACTGAACAGTCATGCTGAAGGTCGAAAGACTTCAAAAGAAAAAAACTAAGGAATTATCAAATGCAGCAGCATCACCGTATCAGATCATAATTACTACTTTGTTGAAAAAAAAAAAAACTGAACCGGTGAAGCCAGAGGACCCTCACGGTGAACTACAGAATCAGGATAAAGTTGACATAGGCAGTCAAAAAATAGACAATGCAGAAGAACAGGAGTCCGATACGAAAGATGGTGAAATTCTAACAAAAAATCTTATAAGAAAAGCGGATGATTTCAGTAAAATTTATAAAAAAACAGTGACAGAAATGTAAGAACTTGTATTTAGGGTTTGCAATCCCGGAGTCCCGGGATTCCGGGATTGAGAAACATTAATTTTGGAATCACGGGATTGATCTCGGAAATGAAAAACAGATATAGCCTCAATATAGTATTAAGTAGAAGTATACTCAAACAAAACAGTACACTCTTAAACAAAAATATATTTTATAAATGATGTTGTTTGCATTACATCGTTACACGCATAGAAGAAAAACATGTTAGTCAACGTCAAGAAATTTCATTAGAAATAAGGAAATATATCATATTTCGTGTACTTTGAAATGTAACAGTCAGGAAGCACAATGCGTCCAATGTTTCATCACCCAACCTGTTACGAATTTTATTATTAAACAGTACTACGGAAGAAAATGTCCGCTGAGCCTCGACACTTGTTGGTTTCACAGTCATTAAAAATGAATAAACTCTTTCTAAATAATCACCACGTGTACCACCATTTTCAAATAATGTCATTTCTTTTTATATTTTTCATGACAATGTTTTATGTCTAACTGGTTGCATCGGTGATTGCGCTTCTTTAATTACACTATCAAGCCCCTCTTCAATACTTAAAGTGTTATTTTCAGTTTCAGGTTCTTCAATAAAACTAGCACATCAGACTCAACTGATTTCAACATTTAAATAAAGAAGGCACTCTAATTATTTCTCCATCGACTTCAATTGAGCTTCGACCGTTATGCAGATATTGCAGAAGTATATTCATATCAGTTCGGCGTTCATGTATACGAGCCATTAAAGTTTTCTTACTTGTGTTATTGTCAGCATCTTTTAATTTTATAAGCATAAATGTATGTCAGCTGTATGTCCAGAGCCGTAACCACAATTTTCATATTAGGGGGCCCATGTTACATATTAAAGACCTTTTTTTTTTTTAGGTACTTATTTTAGGGGCCCAAAGATAGGGAGAGGCCCAAACAAGCAGAGTAAAAGCCCTAAAAAGGTTATTTGTTTTTCCCTAATAATTATAGTTTATTACTTTTTGGGGGGACCCAAGCCCCACTGCCTCCCCCCCCCCCGGTGGTTACGCCTCTGATGTCAGCTGTAAATAGGTTAAAAATTAATAGCAATGTCAGCTGTAAACAGGTTAGAATTTTGGCGAGAAAATGCTTTAACCGTTGTTTTTATTGGAACAAAAGTTGTAATAATGTCTGATAATATTGTCAAATTATCATGCGACAGAGTTATAGAATTATCTTGCACTGAGTTAATATCAGTTAATGATTTTTGTATACAACTTTTTACTTTATAAAATTGTTTAAGCGTTAACAGAAAGCTGCTCCACCTTGTTTTGCAATTCATAATTAAAGACAGTTGTTTTCCAAATTCAGCCTTAATATATTTTTGTAAGATGTCGTTTTTGGTAGGTGACTGTCTAAATATTATTATCAACTAGCGTACTTTTTTAATGACTGGTCCATAATGGACTTCATTTAGTTCAATTTTGGATCTTAAAGTTTCATGATTGTAGCCCAGTAAACCTACCTCAATATCCTCCGTCTCTGATGAATCACAGTCAAAAAATTCATTTTTAAATTTTGGCTGATTTGCATCGAATTCTCTTTTTTTATAAAGAACATCAATTACAGCAAATTGTATTTTGGGGGCTATGTATGACTGAAATACTGATAAAAGTGGTTTAAATATCATATTTGCACAAGGCCTACATCGATGCTATCACATATAGTTAAAAAGTTTACTTATCGCGGTTTGATGTATATTGATGAAACTTAAAATCTATTGATAAGTAATCATTCATTCTAGAACGCTTCATTACTATTTATACAAACGGAATTTAAAGCAAAATTATTTTAAGGTATTAATAAAAACTGGTTTTGATGATAGTTGTAAACTATGCAATCATCGATGGCTTGGATTACAATGGATCTTTTTCATTTTCTCATTTATAAAAAAAAATCAATTCAAGAAGAGGTTAATTTTTTTTCATTATTATTTTTATAATAGGGAAATTCCAAGATGAGAAAACTCCAAGATTTCAAAAACCTTAACTGATAAATTGTCATATCTAAAACCGTAACTTTAAATAGCATTTAAAGTGGATGTTTGCATTCATTATCACTAAAACAAAGTTTGAACTTTACGCCATTTGTAAATTAAAGCATTTAATTTACGTCATTTGTAAATTAAACGGTCTGATGAGATTCGTTGTTGGGGAAAGTAGCCTGGACATTTCGAGAACAAATAAATATAACACATATCAGAAAATAAAGTATCCATAACTTTAAAAAGTGTTTATTTTATTTATTTATTTTTCATTTTTAATTAATTGAATTAAAAATGAAAAAAAATTTGTAGTATATTCGAACAAAACACAAAACTAGCTATGTTGGAAGTCAGGAGTAGAGGAATTTTACTGGAATTAAAGAAGACAAAAAAATGAAATTGTCATGAAATTCAAACGGCGCACCAAATTCTTCTTAAATTAAACTAAAGCTTTATACTAAATAATTCAAAAACAATTGAGAATTAAAGTATTTACTAAAGATATGCTAAACTATTTGAATGAAAAATAAAATAAAATAAAAGAACTACAAGGATTTATTTGAAAGGTACAAATCAAACTCAAAACAAACTTGCTACCGAGTTTAATAAATATTTTGTAGCAACAAACCTAGCCACAAGGAGTTTTTCCTGATAATCCTTAAATAAAAAATATTTTGTCGATATTAAATTTAGTGAAAAATGTAGCTGCACCTAATGGGTTTTTTTTGAAATAATTGTTTTTTAGTGATGCAAGGTCTTTGTAAAATATCAAGGTCTTTTTTCATCTATATTCAATATGCCAATCCAGGGTTTGAAATGTTTTAGACGTGATCATTTTAGACATTCAAAACTCCAAATTTAAGCATTTTTATGCATAAGTCGAATGCCTAAAATTAAGTATTTTAGTGCCTAAGTTGAATGAGAGTATTTTGCAAAAAAATATAGGGTTTTTGGAGACTGGAAACAAAAATGCTCTAACAGGTTTAACGCCACTTGCTCAAATGTAAGGGCAATAAGTTTGGAACATGATAAACGTGATGATGATGATCTTGAATTTAGAACTATAAATTTAATAAAATAATCTTTTGGGGTAATTTTTTTTCCAGGCTCGTGAGACTCAATTATATGTTTATTATCTTTAAGCAAAAGAACTAAAAAAAACAACATACATTTCTCCAAAAGAAGTTTCTGACCAATATACTAGAAAAGGTAGAGGTAAATACAAGTAACAACGATAATGGGGACACATCAGATGATGACATTGATATTGATCAATTTAATAAAAACTTTAATATTAATGTAGAAGTTGATGATGGTTAAAATAAATATAATAATAAATCAAAATTTTTGTTGGAAAAATACAAATACCTTTGATTAATTTACCTAAAATTTATTTTTTTATTTTGTATCACATTTGCGTCTCCTAAAAAATTAAAAGGTCCTCAATGTCTAGGATATTTTAGTACTTTCAGATTCTAGTGGTGTGTGTGTGGGGGGGGGGGGAGGAGAATGCATACCACCATCCCCCTGGATCCATCACTAGTTTTAATGTTATGAAAATTATTTTGTATGCATAAAAACTAAATACTGTAATAAGTGAATGAAATAAAAAAATAACTTTTCTGATGGTATAAAAAAAATACCTTGCATTCGCAGTCAATCAATTTGGCACAACGGAATAAATATTTTGCATATGCCATAGTTTTACTCAAACAATATTTTTACATTACTTAAAATTAAATTGCTTCTTTAGTTTTCCTTTAAAGCGAGTGTTCGGTGTTACTCGACTCTCCCCTACTTTGTTGCTATCACAGATCTCTGTAATAATTATAAGTATAATATATTCAAGTTATTTTAGAGATCAGCGGTTGTGATGTTATGAAGGTTATTTTGCTAAGGATATAATCATATAAGAATTACTTACTTAAAGTTTTTATTACATTTATTTACATATACTTTTTTTACTTATATATTAAAAAGTTGTTTCTAGTATATCCTTAGTTTCACTCCTAGAGGATTGGTGTGGTAATCCGATGCGTTGCGTACTATATTTCGGTATACATTATTCTGCTGCGGTCTTGTTTGTTTACCGCAATCTGAGTTGTTTTCCTGAAAATAGATTATTTCGTAAAAATTTTTATTAAAAAAGTTATATGAATGATTTGTTATCACCTTTATATCAATCCAGTATTCGCATCTTTTTAATGGGTTTTTTAAAATCGGAAAAGACTTATTTTTTTATTAGTTAACTTTTTTTTAAGCTTTACATTAATTGCATTAAAAAAGTTTTGATTTCAGATAAAATGACATTAGAATCTTTTTTTGGATGTGCATTTGTAGCATTTGGTCCTGCACTCTCCATGTTTGCAATTACTGTATTTAATGATGCTCAACAAGTACTTGTTCTCATTAGCAGGTTATTTTAAGAAATACAAATTTGTTTAGAAATATAATTTTGTAGTTTTCTTTTGTAGGTTAATCATTGTTTACATAGTAGAGCTTATTATTCAAATTGTTTTTATTTTTGTTTCCTATCTTTAGTTTAAAGATGACAGGAATTAATTGATTCTAATTAGTATTTTAATAACTGTTTTTATTTTTCTAGTAATTATTTGTTATTTTGAAGTAAACTTTTATGAATTATCAATTTTATGAAATTATCAGATAAATTAATTTATTCAAATTAAAAATTTTACCACAAAGTGACATCGTTGTTTATAACAAAATTCTAAATTCCATAGGATCTGCTTAATCTATTTTGCTGACTCTTTATTTACATTTCTGCAATAGTTAAATTCAGTATATTTAATTATTTGTGCAAAATTTTTATTAACACTACTATTAATATGTATAGCTTATAGAATTATCATTTTATTACATTGAAGTTACTATCACAATGTTTTATAAAATAGTTTTTGAATAACAAAATGGTTTTAAAAATGTTTTCAAAAGTATAAAGTTAAATGCAGATGACGATAAAATAAAAAAAACATTGTAAAAATTAGTGAATATTCTTTAAAATCCTCAAACCACTTATGAATTACATGGTTCTGATAAAAATCCAAATCACAACTGGTTTTTAATGCATACTGTCTACCAAGCTTTGCTTTAAATGAATGAACTGTACAAGCTTTAATAATATCCACCAATGTGTTCCAATAGTTTGTGACTCAATTTAGTTAAATATTTTCTCTATAATTACGGGCTAAAACTTTAATCGTTATTAACTTTTTAAAAGTATGCATTTATATATTAGGGGTGTTCAGAAAAAAAATTATTCAAATCTGATAAACCTAACTGATTTGAAATAAATATGTTTAAACTCACTTCCAAAAAATTTCAGCAATGTTGAGTTATTTTTTCCTTTCTTCAACTTATATGTTTGGTAAATAAGGACCCGAAAATGACCAAAAATAGCTTACTTAAAGTGTCTAGAGTGCAAGGCTAAAATAAATATTTTAAATAAATTTTTTTCTAGGGTATAGATAAATATCTGCCTTTTTGATTATAGTAGTTTAGTTTTTTTCGTTTGTAAGCGCAAAAAAAAAAAAAGTAGCCTAGACTGTAGTAAATTTTTCAGCCTTGAATCTTTCTGGTGTGAGGCATTGCTTCTATGACCTTTTAAACATTGTTATTTAGATTCATATTAAGTACAGTTTGCAAATGTATGTATTCAAAATATTTTAAATAGAATAAAATAATATGCTCCTTAAGTTATCACTTCAATTTTACTTATTTTATAATAGTGATTGTATTGTATATTATGAATATGCAATAGAATTAAGATATAAAATAAAATTTATGTTATTTACAATATAAAAGTTATATAAAATATACTGATATATTATATATTAGCGCCGTGTTGCTTTTATAATTTTTACTAATATAAAGTTCTAACTTGGTTTGAAGATTACTTCAAAGTTTTTTAAGGTAGCAAACCAGATTTGAGGAAAAATGTTAGAACCAACGAGAAAATAAAATTTATTAAAACTAAAAAAAAAAAGGCTCTGCTAAAGATGCAGCAAATCAGAAAACTTCTAAAGATTGATTTAAAAAAGTTTTTAAGGTGACAAAATTTGCAGAACATTATTAGATAAAACCAACAAAAAAAGATATGACAAGGATAAACTAGAAGATTTGATTTTTTTGGAAGATCAGGAAGGAGAAAGAATGTTAAGCCTCAGGGCAAAGGATAAGAATTAAACTTCAAAGGTTAAACTTTACAATTAAAAATGTTATGATATTTTTATTAAAAACATTTCAGTTGAAATTAATATTCTTTAATGCTTAGAATAAAAAATAAAGAAATGCAATTGATGGTATCTATTTATGAAATCAAACTCAATTCTTATTTGAGTTCTGATTGATCTTATGATTCTGATTTTAGCCCAGTGACTGTTATCAAAAATAATCCTCTTAATCTAAAAGTAACTGCAGAAATTCTAATAGATATGCATGCTGGGAAACGTTTTTGGCTTTATATATTTTTTTATACTAATTCTTTCCCAACAAGGCTGCAAGCAACCACTATTAAGTTGGAAGTTACTAGAAAATAAAAAATAGCATTAAAGAGCAAGAAAACAGTTGACAAAATATTTGAAAAGTTGTAGGTTGTATGAGAAACATGAAGATAGGAGAGAGTTCCAAAGTGTTGAAATGCGGGGGAAAAAAAACAAGATGAGTAAAATTTTTTAGAACATGCATGGACAGTTACAGTGACTCTGCTGAATGATGCGTCAAGCAAGAATGAGTTTTGGTTGATTGAACTAGAGATTATAGCTTTTTTTTAGCATTTGAGCAGTGAAATTAATGTTCAGCAGTTGAAATTAATATTCTTTAATGCTTAGAATAAAAAATAAAGAAATGCAATTGATGGTATCTATTTATGAAATCAAACTCAATTCTTATTTGAGTTCTGAGCAAGAATGATGGTTGATTGAACTAGAGATTATATTTTGAGCAGTGACCATGATAGTATTTGTAGAAAAGAGAAAGAGACGTGACCTTACAACGATTAGAGAGTGGCTCAAACTTGACAGATAGAGTAGGTCCATCTATATTTACAACGTGTTTTTGGACTAATAAGAAGAGAATCGCTAAAAAACAGCCTAAATGTGACAACAATATTTGATAAAGGGAAGAATAAGAGATTTATAGAGGTAGAGAATAGAATTAGGATTAAGGAAATGGTAAACAAGATAAGGAGTAGCACCTTAGCAGATGCCAACTTTACAACTGATTATATACATGGTTTCCATGAGAGATCAGTAGTGAATGATAATTCAAGAAACAAAGTAGCGGACTCAGTGAGAGGGTTGCCATTCATCATTAAAGGTATGTTAACAATATTTTGGTATTTGTATTCAGTAAATAACTGAATTTTGTTGAAATTCACTAGCCATTACAAGCTCCAAATTGTTACAGAAGAGAGATCTGATTCAAGATCAGCTGCCTGTTTCAAACAATCGAAAAGGGAAGACTTAATGTCAAGAAAGGAGTTGTCAGTTAAGTTGTCAGTAACTAGAGCCACTTTGGATTTAAGATTGTCAAGAAGATCATTAATGTAGATAAAAAAGAATACAGGACTAAGAATAGAACCTTGAGGTACCCAAGAAGTTACTAGAAATATAAAAGAGTGTTGAAGTAGAAATATAAGAGTGTTAGCCTTCGAGGATGACTCTAATACTGCTCTTATAAAAAATGATTTAGTAATCTAAAAAACTTTTTTCAATACATCATATAAAACATCCTTATGGAGAAGATTAGCTTGCCAAACTTTAATAAAATTTTTGGATATATCAAGAGCAATAGCTCCTCCTCCATCTAATGCATGATATAATCTTTCAGTTACAGGGGTTAGCAAGTCAGCCATAGAATAAGAAGATCAAAATTTGTATTAATTATCAGAGAGTTAGATATTATGCTCAAGATGGGATGTTAGATATTTGTTGATTAAAGGTACAAAGACCTTACTAATATCAGAGAGTAGGCTGATTGGATGATTGTTGGAGGATTTGGAGTGTACTCTAGAGTTTTTAAAAATTGGAACCACTAGAATAATGAAGCTTAGCATCTGACAGCACCTTTTTATATAATATAATACAAATATTATTGAAAAACACCTTTTTCAACAATATAAAGACATTTTTCTAATGAGAGTTGTTCTTTGGAAAAAGATAAAAAAAAGTGATTACTATTAGATTATCCACAAAAAAAATCAATTATCTTTTCTTTGAAGCTGTCTAGCAAAGAAACAGAACTCAAAGAAAAAAACACTATTAATTAGATAAACTATAGAAAAAAGAAAATTCCACAAGTTAAGTATTTAAAATAAATAGTTTTTTGATTTGATAAATAAAACTGTAGTGATATCATAGGGAGCAGAAATAATAGACATATTTTATTCAGATTTTGAGTATATACATTTGCAAACTATATTTACTATGAATCTAAATAACATTATTTGAATTTAATTTTTGAAAAAGTCATACAAGCAATGCCGTACTGCATAATAAACCGCTTTTAGTTGATTTTAAATGTAAGCTATACTGCTTTTTAGGTGAGAAGAAAAAGATTATATTATTTTAATTAAAAGTTTTAATTAAATATTTATCTATGCTCTAGAAAAACAAGTTTATTAAAAATAGTTAGCCTCAAGACACTTAAAGTTATGTTGTTGTAACAAGTGTGAAAAATTACAGCTGTTTTTGGTAATTTTTAAGTTTTTTTTTTTTTTTTTTTCAAATGTGATTTAAGGGTAAGGAAAGAGTGATTTAATGGTGCTAAAATTTTTATAGTGAGTTTAAACATATTTACTTCAAATCTAAACGGTTTTTCAGATTTTTTTTCTTCTGAACACCCCTAATATAATAATGCATATCTTAATAGCCTTATAAATATCCTTGTAATCTTAAATATTTACATTAAATAGATTTCAATTGGTCATTAAATGATTTTCCACATATCAGTTTTTGCTTGACCAAATAAATTTAAACTTTATTTGTTTTTTTACCCAGCAAGCACTTAATCACTACACTACTACTGCATAGTTTAAAAAAAAACACACCCTAAATTAGAGAAAAACAAACAGCATGAATAATTTGTACCATTTCTGCCTAACAAGACATGATTTTGTGGATGATAATTAAGAAAATCACAGATATGGTAAAGCATGACAAAAGGAGCTAATGCATATGCTGCTTTTGTAATATAGGATTTTTAGTGGTGATTTTTTATATTTTTGTTTCACATATCTTTTGTTGCTTATTTACTTTTTGATGTATAGATTTTATCGTTAAGGGGCTGTTTATATGAACAAGGTCTTTCTCATTTTCTAAAGCCAGGAAATGAGCATTTTTATGAATAAAGTAACTTTTATGCAACAAAAAAAAAAAAATAATAACATCAAGGTCACTCTTCCAATTTGTAGTTGGGTTGGCTTCATTTAAATAAAATATTTATTTTAAAGATGAGCACTATGGAAAAAATTAAAGTGTAAAACTTTAAACTTTCGTGTATCCTTTTAAACCCTCAGGTATCTCCTGGCCTTTTTTTTTTTTTTTGCCTATTTCTAGAGCTTTATTAGGAGATATAAAAGTAGCAGAGATATAAAAAGAGATATATAAAGTAGTACTACTTGAAAGATTTTGATTCTTTGGGTATGATTGCTGATCTTTGGGTGATTGCAATATGCACTGCTTCTTATCTTATAATTTCAGTTTTAAAACAATATCAAATTATCTTGGGTCAAGATTTTTATAAAGCATCTTATAACTCATAACACAATTTGTAAGATTTTGATTCTTTAAGTATGATTGCTGATCTTTGGGTGATCACAATTTGTAAGGTTTTCTACCATATGATCTTATTTAAAGATTTTTAACAAAATCAGTCATTTTAAATGACAGCTGCAACCAATTAGTACAAGGGTATTTTAAGTTAAAGGAATCTCAGCATACACGTATGCACAAATTTAGTTATTATTTAATTATTGAGTGTCTATTATTGTCTCACTTGCTTTATATTTGTTTGAAAAATCAGCTAATTGACTATGTCAAGATTGAAGTAAATGGAGTAGCCCTGCATACATCCTACCTGCTTTCCAAATAAACACCCTTTTATTATCATCATTATTTTTTGTGTATGTTTAATGTAGACTTTGTATATGTGTTTACTTTAGTGCATTTTTTTGGCTTTTATCTTTATTGGTATCAGCAATGTGGTGGCAGTTATTCAACTTCACAATTCTCAAAAATTATCTGGTTTTTAGTATGATTTTTTCAGTTATATTCCAAGAAATTTTTCGGCTATTTCTCTGGATGGTTCTAAGGTAAACCTTTAATTTTTAAATGTCTTAATGTTAGTTATTGCACAGAATTATAATTTATTTGTCTAAATTAATTGTGATTTTTTGATATAAAAATTACAAAAAATTGTTATAAATTTTAAAAGTTGTTGTATCTTTTCTTCATATTGATTTCAAATGATTACTATAAATTTTTTTTGTTTGTTTTTATTATTACAGCTACTGTTTTTTAATATTGAATAAAAATTTATACAGAAAAAAATGTTTTTTCTGCATAAATTTAAACTGCAGTTAATTTATACTAAATACAGTTAGTTTCATGAGTTATTTCCTATCATTAAACATGTTGTCCTGGTTTAGAACTAGAACAAGTTAGTGCATAATTAGGGCCCTGCGAATTGGCAGTTTTTGTTTCGAATCGAATCTCGAATCAAAGCAGGTCTTGATTCGCAATTCGAATCACGTTTTGAATTGGCATTTTGAAGTCTAAGTTTAAGCATTTTTTATTTAATAATACATATTTTAAAATAAAATAAAATAAAAAAACTGTATAATCTCTTTATTGATACTTCTTGTCCTGGTTAAGCTCTTTAATGACTGATTAAAAAGGTATTTAAGAATAAGTAACGTTATTTCGATAGTGCCAAAGCGCAGAATATCTAAAATACCCACAACAAAAACAAAATAAGCAAGGATTCGATTTTTGAAAATTTTTGAATTGAATCTCAAATCATTTTTTTGATTCGATTCGATTCAAAATTTCAAAGCTTCGCAGGCCCTATGCATAATATTAAAATGTCATATTTGTTTCTCTGTCTGGAATGCACACAGTCAGTGGCATAACAACCGGCAGACAAATGCCAAGGATCCTTATTCTTTAATATTGTTTTTTCATTTCTTAAAAAAAAATGTGTTGATAGTGAATTTGCATTAAATAAACATTTTAATTTATTCATTTAGGCTAAATAATGCTTTGTGGTAAACTTAAAATAATAAAAATTGAATTTTATAGGTCATAGATGTACAGATTCATTGCAAAACAAAAAGAAAAAAAAAGCAGAAGTCGCTGTTAATAAATGCAAATGACTTGACCAATTTTTTTCACAAACTCCAGATCTGCCCATTCAATAAAGTCATATCACTAAATACAATGTTTCTCTTCCTGACTGTGAATCACCTATTTTAAGGGAAAATGTTAATACAATCATAACTGGGCAAATAATAAATAACATTAATACTAGAAATAGAAATTAACTAAATGAAGCAACATTTGAACAGATGTATCAGAAAGGTATACAACTGAGTGCATTTGTTTTGTCAGCTGATCTTGGAATCCTTTTCCAAACAATAAATAATTCTGATTTGATAGAAACTATTCTGAAGCATGTTTTATGTAAGCCAGTAGGACAATTTGAGAGGTTAAAGTACTCTTATGGAAACTTGTATGTTGACCACAATTGACTATGCTTTTCTTTAACCCTGAATTGGGCTTATTGTGAGCCTTACTGGTTGTTTACTTATTGATGTGATTTAGTGGAACACCACCATTATGTTTGCAAACATCCGAAAGAAATGCCAGATTATTTTATGATGACTCAAAACAAGATCAAAGGATTCAAGATAGCAAACTTTTTTGTTTAAAGTGAATGCTTTTTATCCTATTATTGACACTGCAATATATCAACTGCAGTTTTGCTTCCAGGGCCACAAAAAAATTACTGATTTGTTCAAATTTTTGCATCCTCATCATCTCAAGAGTTTGTTGCATACTGAAATGGAATTTGCTGCATCCAAATTTTTAAAATTATACCTTAATAATGTGAGTGACAAGAAATTCTCTCATACTAGCAAGAATTTTTGAGGACTTGTGCAAAATTTAGACTGTTTGAGATATTTTGCAACGCCATGCGTTGAGAATTAGCATGTGTTCTCTTTGTATTACTTCCAGTGACTGTTGCACCATGTGAATGTTTGTTTTCCAAATGTAAGATCATCAAAACCTACCTTCAGTCAAGTGTTTTTTAAAATTGGCTTTGATGCAGGTAATCGGTGCTGTGCTGAACTAAACTGAGCAATGAGCCCACAAAGAAATATGAAATGTTTTTATTAAAAATACTTTTTTTATAAAGACAGATAAACAATTAAAACAAAGAAAAAAAAACAGATGTTTGTAATTAACATCTTTTTTTAAAGAGGATTGGTGCTGAGCCTCTTTGAAATGCTTGTAATAATAATTATGATTCTGAGGAGAAGTTTATTACCACCACTGCATAAATTATGATTACACAAAAGCAATAATATTTTTTTTTTACCTTATACCTCCTTTCATTTTGTGTTTGTTTGTTTTAAATATTGGTATATCTATGCTTATATATCAAGCCTTTTCAGGAGATGTGCGTGGTTGCACGCCTTATATGACCATGGATACATTTTTTTTTTTTTGACAACTTGGTCACAATTCTTTGCATATATTGATAATTTCCGTGTTTTAAAAAATGGGCTGAAAAAATCAAACAAAAGAGAAAATTAAAAATAAACAAACCATAAATTGAAAGATAAACAAATTTAACGAATGATAAAATAAATAAAGGATAAACCAGAGAAAATAAAAGCATACAATAATATATATTTTAATTTAGAAGCATCTCAATTAATAGTTAAAATTAGTTTATTAATTTTAACTATTAATTGAGATGCTTCAATTAAAACTTAATTAATCTAAAAGCGTTTCTTTTAATTGTTTAAAGCTACTAATTTTTCCTATACCGCCATGTTGACGTAGTGCTAGATTTAGGTTGATTAATTGTGTCATAACTGTTATATCAGTGTTAGACTAAGGATCAAATCCTACTAACTGATAATTTTCTTTTTATGTTTTATTTGTTTTGTAGACATGAGGAAATATAAAAGTTTCAGGTTTTTAAATAATTAAGTTTCAAAGTAATTAAGCTTGGATTAAATAACTTTGAAACTTCGATTTTTTCTAAATTCTTTGTAGTGAAACACTTTTAAATTAAAATAAAGACATGATTTTATGCTTTTATTTTTTCTGATTTATTTTTTATTCATTTTATCATTGGTTAAGATTTTTTTTTTTAGTTAAGTTTTGTATTTTTTTTTTTAGTTTTTATTTTCTTTCCAGTTTATAGTTTGTTTATTTTTAATTTTAGCGAAAGTTCACATTTGTTTATTCAGCGCATTTTTTAAACGCATTTAACTTTAAATATGCAAGGAGCCGTGGCCAAGTTGTCAAATTGAAATATTATGTGTGGTCATATAAAACATGCGACCACACATGTCTCCTGAGAAGGCTTCATATATATGTATATTTGTTTTAAAGTAAGTTAAACTTTTTTGTTTAATGAATATTTATGGTTACTTTGTGTTGCTTATGTGTTCATTTGTTTTAGGTATATTTTAACAATGAAGTTACTGTTTACTGTGATTTGTGCATAAGCTTTTTCTCCTTAAAATAAATCTGTGTTTATTCTGAACATCTGTTCGTTTTTCTTTGTTTTTATTACTTATCCTCCTTTATAAAAAAGGTTTTTTCAATAGAAATGTTTCGTATTTCTCTGTGGGCTTTCATTGCTCAGTCTACTTCAAGCACCGCAATTATCTGCATCAAATATAATAAAATTTGTAAAATATATGTGTAAGCATAAAAGTATTCTCCACAACTTTTTCATTATCTCCACAACTTATTTCTCTAAACTATTTAGAAATATGCATCTAAAAAATATATGTGGTTTTAATTTTTAAAAACTTTTTGACTCTTCAAAATCTCGCGTAAATCTTATTATTATTGTCAGCAAAGTTTTTGAATCATTAATTAATAAAATTCTAATATTTTATCTTGAGTCTAACAACTTATTCTCTGTCAGTCAGATTTTAATCTTCTTGCTCCAATCCTGCAGCTGTATTCACATCATCCGTTAAACTAACAGAGAATTTGAGTGTCTGTTAAGAAAAAAACTCTAAACGACCAGTTATAAAATGGAGGAAAGTAAATGGTATTCTAATCTTTCCATTAAAGGGACTACCAAGTCCCGAGACATGTTGTGTTCATATTAAAGAGAATGTTAAAAAAAAACGTCTGAGCAAATTTTTTTTGATTATAACTAATTAATAAATGTATACCAAGGAAAACAAATCTTGTTGTTTTAGTCGAAGCTCGTCTTCTCCATTTTCTCTGGTATTTTGTGTATGTAAAATAAACGCGATTTTCCAGGCGCATTATACAGACTTGATAATTTATTCAAGCGCGTTTAATTCATAGGAGTTTTAGAGCATGACGTCATTGGAAACATTCTAGAAATTCTTTAAAAATTTTACTATTAAATTTTACTCAAATAGCTAACTATAGTTACTTATTTTATTAAAAGTTTATTTTATTAATTGTTCGTTAGTTTTTTACAAATCTAACGAACAATTAATTAAACCAAGCACTAAGAAAAGATATAAAAAATAAGAATATATTAATAAAATATATAATTTGTAATTAACTTTCAAAATTTTGACAATTTAAAAAATATATATTATAAAACATTTATTTTTGTAAACAAATGATAATAGTTTAAAAGTTTTACGGCTTTACAGATGTGGCTCCATGAATGAGCCATAATATTAAAGTAATAGTTCATTTGATAATATATTCTTAAAAAAGTTTATGATAGATATCTCAAAACTCAACAAATCGTAAATAATACAATTACTAACACATTTCAACAGAATACTCTAGAACTTTATTTCGCTTAGTCAGCGTGTTTTTTGAACTAATAGAATTAGTTTGTTCGCAAATTTGGCGGGTTTTTAGTGTTCCCGAATAATCTTTTTATTCTTCCGCAAGATGTTTTAAGAACATTAAAGTTGATTATGTTTCCATGTATGTCTGTAAAATAAAAATTAATATATATTAATTTTTTAATTTTTAAGCCCCCACCATAATATATATTGGATGTTATAATGGAAATATAAATAATGAAATAAATTTATAAATAATGAAATAAGATCACTTACTAATATAATCATAATAAAAGTTACTAATAATAATACTTACTAATATAATCTAATATAATCATAATAAAAGTTACTAATAATAATACTTACTAATATAATCATAATAAAAGTTATTGAATATATTAAACTATTTGTCGTAACATATACGTAATAAATATTTATTGTATACCAAATACACTATATATAATTAACTTTTTCAAATTTGCCTTACTTGTTTTTTTCGTAGTAAAATGGTTTATGTTTATTGACAGCTGTCAAAGGGGACTACTGAATAAGTGCGAACTGGCAGAAACGCAAAACTGACATAAGTGCGCCAAAAGATTTTTTAAACATTGGCATAAGTGCGAATTAGCATAAGTGCGCCGAATAAATCTGCAAACATTGGCATAAGTTTAAAATACTAATTTGCACTTGTGTTAATATATGCAATTTTATTCGGCGTACTTATGCCTATTCGCTCTTATGCCAGTTTTTGTAACTGCTTCATACTTATGCCAGTTCGTACTTATGCCAATGTTTGCAAATTTGTTCGGCTCACTTATGCCAATTTGCACTTAAGCCAGTTCGCACTTGAGCCAGTTTTTGCAACTGCTTCGCACTTATGCCAATGTGATAGATACTTGTTCAGCCTCCCGCTGTCTCGTATCTATCAGGGTTTTAGTTGCGGTTAGTAAATATGGAGAGATATTATTTAGGTTAAAAATTATTTTATCTAATATTTTGAAAGAAAAACTTATAACAAAAGAAATCAAAATACACGTGGTCTAGACAGTTATTTTAAAAAAGTTGCGCAAATAAAATACTATTTTGTTTTTAATTTTATTTCTGTTTTTAATTTTATTTTGTTTTTAATTTTATTTTACAAACACATTTTAGAACTTTAAAATATAATAAAAATGAATATGATTTGGAAATTGTATGTAAAAAATAACAATCGGTGTTTTAAACAAAAAATAAATCTATGATGTCATGCACTAAAACTCCTATGAATTAAACGCACTTGAATAAATTATCAAGTCTGTATAATGCGCCTGGAAAATCGCGTTTATTTTACATACTCAAAATACCAGAGAAAATGGTAAAGATGAGCTTCTACTTCTTCGACTTCTTGATATACATTTATTAATTAGTTATAATCAAAAAAAATTTGCTCAGACGTTTTTTTTTAACATTCCCTTTAATATGAATACAACATGTCTCGGGACTTGGTAGTCCCTTTAAGGTATATATATTTGTAATATATTTGTTTTTTAAGCTTTTTCATTCATCATTCATACACAAATTATAAAAAGTTTGGAAAAAAAATTGAAACAACTCAGCTAAAAGCACATTTAAGAGGAAGATATATTACGGATTTTTTTACCTAAACAATTTTCCAGATTTTTAAAATATGATCTGGATGATCTATGGTATGTGTCTGTATATATATATGTGTGTGTGTGTGTGTGTCTATATGTATATATATATATATATATATATATATATATATATATATAAATATATATATATATATATATATATATATATATATATATATATATATATATATATATATATATATATATATATATATGTATATATATATATATTAGGGTGTCCCAGCCGCCCCTTATATTCTAAAAAAGATCTGTTCATATTCTTAAAACTTTCTATTGGTTCTCACAAGCAACTCTGCTAAATTTTTTCAAAATTTTATTGGATTTAGGGGGAGCACAAGACCCTTGAACACTTACCGGGTCCCTAATAATATTTTATCCCAAATATATATATATATATATATATCTTTATCTATATATATATATATATATATATATATATATATATATATATATATATATATATATATATATATATATATATATATATATATATATATATATATATATATATATATATATATATATATATATATATATATATATATATATATGTATATATATATATACATTATATATATATATGTATATATATATATACATTATATATATATATAGATAAAGATATATATTTGTATATGTGTTATATATATGTTTGTATAAATGTGTATATATATATATATATAATATATATATATATATATATATATATATATATATATATATATTCTTGTTTATTAATGAATCAAAGTACATGTATATTTCCTTTTATACATAATTAAACCCTTTATATGTTATACAGATGTATTTAAAATACGTATAGGCTCATAAAAGTGTGTGCATTTTAATCAAATGCAAAATACATTTCATTTTATAATAATATTTGTTTTAAAATCTAATAAGTGTATTAATAATAAAAATGAATTTTTTATCAATTAAATTCAATTGATAAATCATATAAATTTGATACAGTATATATTTGTTATAAAATTAAACAAATTTGTTATAAAAGTAAACTTATTTGTTTACGCTTTTTTTGATTGGATACCATTTTTTATTTTTCTTAATTTAGTAGAAAATTCCTATGATAGCAGTTTTAACAGTAGGGTATAGCAGGGTTAGAATTTTGCATTAACAGCCTTCTGATAACTAAATTTACTCCTGCTGTTAACCAATCGGAAACATTAGAATACAAGTTTATTTTATCGCTAACTTTAAAAACTGCCGATTTACTTTTAACAAGCCAATAGCTTATTGCAGGGTTTAATGGAAGGATGTGAATATGGCTCCAGAATGTTTAACCATTTTTACAGAAAAATTTTATTTTGAGTTAGATGAAAGCAAAGACTATAGCTTTTGACAGTCTGGCATACTGGCCTTTTTTATAAGCTTGCTTCATACAATATATCTTTAAAATTTTTTTAAAATGTTGAATCTTTTTAACCACATTATTAAGTTATACTTTATGAACAACTTACTGGACCTCTCATGAAAACTATAAATACAATTCATATAGACAAAGTTAGCATCTGCTGTATCATATAACATCTGCTTCTCTTCATTGTGCTTTCATTATTAAATTTAAATCCTTATTAAGATTTAATCTTTTATTCATCCTTCTATGGAATATTGTTATCATATGATAACAATAGTTAACAATGGATGGTTCTGTTAATGATACTCTTTTATTTTTTAAACAAAGTTAAATAACTAATGTGTTGTAGACAAATTGTTAAAAGTTAAAATTAATAAATTGCATAAATTGAGCCAATTGAGCCAATATTGGATTTAGAGAATAAAAAGTGAGTCACATAATATGACTCATTTTTTGCATTTATACAAAGCTAATGTTGCTTCTTGGTTATGTTGTTTACACTAACTATTTTGCAGCTTCACTACTTTTTATATTCCTGGTTTGCATTTATACTTGGTTATAGCATACCTAGTATATTGACCTATCCCATATGAGTAGTTTTAAGGACAGGTTCTTAATTGCTAAATCTGAATCTGATTGTTGTTTTTTTAATTTTACTTTTACTTGAATTTCATGTTATATTTTGTTATACAATGCTCTTATATCCCAAGGCCAACGACACCAGGGGTCAGGTGTCGTTGGCCTTGGGATATAAGAGCATTGTATAACAAAATATAACATAACATCCTCCCTCCCCTCCACTAAATTTTTTTACTAAAGGACTTTATTTTTTCTTACAAAAAATTATAGATATAAAGGACTTTTTTTAGAAATTGACAGTTGTGCCCTTCCACTTTGAAACCTGTGTTGTCAGCCATGTATCCAAAAACTTTCATAAAGCCTTATCAAAGGAACAAATAGTCATCAAGACTAATCCCATAGTAGTGTCCATTATTGACCAATGTTTTTGTGTACTAAAATACTACTCCTGTCTTGAGTTAGAGGTGGCCACATTTGAACTTGTATTTCACAACAGTCCAGCCTTTTAATATTACTTTGATGTTCAACCAATTGAGCTATCCAGCCATAACCAACTGAGCTATTTTTCTAACTGTATTCCTATTATAAAAAATGTATAGTTCCTATTATAAATAAATTCATTTCTGCTATATCACAAAGTAAATCATCTTTTTTTAAATTTATTTACAAAGTAAAATTGGTATATTTAAGTTATTTAAATTTTATTTAGGCGTGCAGAAGAAGGACTTATTGTTATGAATGGCTCATATACTCCATTAAGAAAGATTAGGTTTCATTATGGTAGTGTTTTAATATTTTTAGTAACTGGTTATAGGTTACAATAGTATTATTTTAATAAAAAATATTTTAAAATTTAAAATTACTTTAAAATTAATGAATTCATATTACTTTTATAATAATAGTTTTAAATAAAATCTTTGTTTAATGAAAATTAAAAAGTAAATAACTAAAAGTAAATAACTTGTTTTTCCACACAGTGCCCTTGTTCGTCAAGGTTCGTGTTTTGGAGTTCTAGAGTTGAGAGAGGGTTGTAACCTCAATTAAGTAACCTCCTTGTCTGTAGTGGCCTTCTCAGCCTTGGGGAGGTGGATTAACATTTGAAAAAAAATTAAATAAAGTTTAAATTTACTGTTGAAATAACTCTTGTGTGTGCGCATATAAATTTAAAGAACTAACCTAGCTTTATCTCTAACATTTTTAAAATTTTTATATCGAAAGTCTAAATTTATGGAATGCTTTATCTCGGCAACAAGAAGATAATAAAAAAAATTTAAAGTTTACAAGTAAAAAGAAATTTAAAATTAAAAAGTCTTTTTATGTTATTATAGTAATTACTACTTTTTTTTCTTTAGCACAAAAAATAATAAAACAAATCATTTAAACGAAATATTTAATACTGAGTAGAACATTTTATGAAACACTACAATAATAATTACTAATATAATACAATGATAATTACTAATGTAATACAATGATAATTACTAATGTAATACAAGGTTTTGTTTACTAAAAATAAACTTTTAAATATTCTTACTTTATTACTATTAATTACTATAGAATATTAATATTTCACCACTATTTTTATATATTTTTATACTATTAATTACTATAGAATATTAATATTTCACCACTATTTTTACTTTAATAGAATAATTGGAGTTAACTTTTTGCCTATTTGTCTGTTGGAGATTCCAAATTGAAAAATTTGCAAATAATATTTTTAAATTTATTTCGAAATTATTTATTTATTGTAATGACTTCACAAATAGCAGCAAAAATTTAAGAGATTGTAAATGAAAAGATTGAAATTTAAAAAACGGCTAAAAATAAAGTTGAAATAAAAAATGTTCTTACTTGAATACTACAATAATATTAATAAAGTAAGAACTTCAATCAAGTATAAAAAAGTAGCCATGTTTTAACCATGGGTTTTACAACCAGTGAAGTGAATTTAAATTTAAATAAGTACATCAAAATACAAATTGTAGTTTACAATATATATAATATGTTAGTTACAGCATCATATCGTTACAATATGTTTTAAATACTTCTTCAATTTTTAAATGTTTTTTTTTAATATTTAGTATTTGTATTTTTAAAAGACGTCCTGGTTATTTTTAATATCTTAATTTTCTTAACTCAAAAATAATATTTTTGATATTTAACCTTGAGCGGCAAGAATTTATTTTGAAAGGTCAAATCAGCAAATTTGGTCATTGCAGGCAGTCATTGACTGTTAATTGCCCTAAATTTTCCACGCTTGTTAACATTTTTAGTTGAACAATTATTTAAAATATATATTTAACAGGGAAATAGGTTATTGAATTCAGATTATCTATTTATTGGTTTCCCTTCTAGAGGATGTTTCAAAACGCTACTAAAATATAAAAAATTAAAAAGCCAAAACAATTATCTTATGAAACTATAGCCTCAACCATTTTCTATCATCCTTATAGTCAATAAAACACAAACCAACTAATGGAAATTTTAGTTGATAAGCACTTTGAAATAAAGTACAAAAACTGCTTTTTTTTTTTTTTTTTTGTTTTTGTTTTTTTTGGGCAACTGTTTTTGTTACAAAACTTTTTGTTAACTTGTTTTTTTGTTTTAAGCGACTTTTAATTATCAATACAATTTTAAAACTGCTGGTACGCTTTTTGAAATTTAATTTAATACTAATACAATGATAATGACTTAATCTTAATTTTATCTTACAAAATATTTAATTTAAAAACAAGAATGCACAAATGCAGCTTTTCAAAGTTGCCTCTTTTTCCCCATCTATTTGATACATAGTGTTATTATTATTAAATTTTTGAAAATCTTAAACAATGTCACTAATAAACGTCTAACATTACATTTCTTATAAATTATCTGATCTTATTCCCTCTCCCAAGGGACAAAACAATTTTCAATTTCCTCTAACACATCTCTTGAATCTGAAGATCGCACTCTTCTTGTCATCCCAAAGAAACGGGTTATTCCGTTTTTAAACATCCAAATCACTCTTGCTTCAGTTGCTAAAGTTATTTAGCAATAGAAGCGGGATATATTTAACAAGAGCTTAACTGAATCTTATTTCTCATGCTTACCGAAAAATGGTATCTGTGGTTGTAATTTTAAAAACTCTTGAGTCTAAGAACTTATCTCTGATAATCAAGATTTTGATCCCTTCCACTACTGGACAACACTCTCCTTTATTTCCAGTAACTTCTTGGGTACCACAAGGTTTCATCCTTGTTCCTATGATATTCTTCATCAATATTAATAATCTTCATGATAATTTCATCTCTTAATAACCTTCGAGATAATCTCATTTCTAAATAACCTTCTTGATAATCTCATCTCTTAATAGGTTTAATAAAATATTAAAAGGCTCAAAAAAATATTTTTTTGATTTATCAGTTATGCTATGCTAAATAAGGTGATATAATTCCAAATAAATAATTTTTAAAATAATTTTCAGCATTTTAAATTAATGCTGAAAATTTCTTTTAAAAGATTTTTTAATTAATTTTTAGTGTCTGGCCTTGGTTACGGGTTGATGAGTGGATTATTTGCAATGGTCAACATACTTGCTGATATAACTGGTCCAGGAACTGTTGGACTTTTTGGAGACAACAATCACTTTGTGATAGTTTCAGGTATTATATAATTTGATTAAAGATGTTGTTGTATTCAAAACTAGGACTCAGACCTCTTTCATTTTAAGAACAAAATTACTTTTATCGGAATATTTATTTTATAATTTGCTTTACATTACTTGCAACAATATTGATAAGCTATTTATCTATAGATAGCTTATCAATATTGATAAGCTATCTATAGGTAGATATATATATATATATATATATATATATATATATATATATATATATATATATATATATATATATATATATATATATATATATATATACACACACACACACAGTATCGAACAAAACAAGTGCAACCAAATAATGCTAATTTAGTTTCTTTATATAAAAGTGCTGCATTTTTTCAATTTAGAGAAATAACTATGTAACTGTTTAGAGACAAGTTTTATTTATAACAAAGTTCATTAATTTGTACACGAAAATTAATAAATTAATCAAAAGTATTAAAAAAAGTTAATTTCCTTCTGGACAAAACAAGTGCAACTCCACAAAATGTTGACCAAGCTGTATTTCGCTATCAATATTTTGTGGCGAATCCTTTGTTGTTGATCACAGCCTTGCATCTTCGAGGCATAAATTCGATCAGGTGATCAATGAAATTTTGTGAAATTCCTGCCCAGGCCTTTTGGATTTGTTCAAACAGTTGATCTTTATTACGAACACCTTTACAATTAATTCTGTGGTTGACGATCTCCCACAGGTTCTCGATAGGGTTGAGATCAGGAGATTGATGCGGCTAATCCATCACCAATAGGTGGTTGTCTTGAAACCACTGCTTGACTACTTTTGCAGTATGAAAGTGCTGAAAAACCCATTTTATTGGCATATTCCATTCAGCATGAGGTAACATTACATCTTTCAGGATATTTTTATACATGAAATGATCCATTATTCCATTGATTCGATGTATTGGACCTAGACCGTTAGCAGAAAAACACCCCCAAATCATTACATTGCCTCCACCATGCTTCACGGTCTTATGGTAGTAATGTAAGTAATGTAAATTACAGTAATGTAAATCGATGCGTTTTCCGGGCGGTCGATGTACACGGCAAATGCCATCCCTCCCAATGATGTTCAACTTCGATTCATCACTGAACAGAACAGTTTGCCATTTCTGCACATTCCAGTCAATATGAGATGTAGCAAACAGGAGTCTTTTCTTCTGGTTCTTTAGTGAAATCAGCGGTTTCTTTGCAGGGCATCAAGAAAACAATCCGGCTTCAACAGCACATTGTCTGATTGTTCGGTCTGATACAGGCAGCTCTAATTGCTTTTGTATCTTGAATGATGATATCCAGGGATCCTTCTTGACGAATATGATGATCATAGAATCCTCTCTAGAAGTGGTGCAACCATTTTTTCACGCGATATTTATCAAAAATACTTTTTTGTGACATTCCACTTACGTAATCGCCAATAATTTTCTTTCTTAGTTCCAATCCAAGACTGTCGGGAGCCATTTTTGCACTTGAAGTAATAAAAATAATAATAATAAATAATCACGCTTCTCAAGGCTTACCGTGTTACATTTATCTTGTGACGATACAGTAATGCTCTGTGGAACACAACGTTTTGGTTTGATGTGGACTGTATTGATGTAATGAAACACTAGTTGTGTTTCACTTCTTGTATCGATGTTCTTCGATAAAACACTTTGATAAAACTCACTTCGATAAACTGTCTTGATAATACTGACTGATTGACTTCCATATACTGACTGAATTACATGTCGGTTTACATGTCTCTTATATAGTAAAATGAACCTGTGTGAACCTGATCTGGAATATTCTAGATGCTTCTTTTCGATGCTTCTGGAAGCTTCTGGATACTTCTGGATGCTTCTAAATGCTTTTTCTAGAAACTTCTGGAAACTTCTGGATACTTCCTTAAATTATTAAAGACTTCTGTGACGTTGACTTGGACCAGACTTAAGAAAATGAAACAAACCAAAAATGTTGCACTTGTTTTGTCCGCTGCAAAATGGCACTTGTCAACGAAATTCTGCCTGTGTGCTGTCACCTGTCAGCTGATTGCTCATGTCATGGCATGCTATGACTCCAAACTCCTGAACTGTTTGCTGTGGTAGTATAGTTCGTTTCCTTTTTAAGACATGTAAAATTAAGAACACTTTTTAGCATTGTTCGATGTTGGTTGCAAATGTTTTGTCAAATACTGTATATATATATAGGTAGATAGATACATAGATACTTTGATAGATAGATATATAGATAGATAGATAGATAGCTTATCGATATTTAGTTAACACAGCTGTGAACTGGGCTTCAAATTATCTATCTATGCATCTATGTTTTTTGTTTTTTTTTACTTCGCACAAAAGTTACTTTTCTGTTTCTTTTGTATAAAAAAAAAATTAAATGTAAAAAATGGAAACTTTAGGCACATTTTTTTACGTTTTCAACACTTTGAGCAACAATTGGTGCAGTGGTTTGAGCGTTTATTTCAAAATTGAGAGGTTAATGTTTCATGCCAGCTCTAAACATTTTTGTGACAGGTATGCAAGGAACTCTTAGGGCACTTATGCAACTCCACGGCTGTTTCAGAGTGAGCTTTACGGCTTCTTGTTTTTTTTGGAAAATATTTACTTTGGGGGTGTTACTAAAACATTTATAACATTTGAAATATTTGAGATAATTTTGTTTTGTAAAAAGAATAAAAACAAAAATAAAATGTTTTATCATACGATATTTAATACAATAATAAAAAAAACTTCTTTTAGTTTATAAAAAACTTTTAGTAATTTCTTGTTACTTTTTATCAAAAAAAAATCAGAAAAATATATTTCTGATAGTTATTATCAATTGCACTCGTTGTTTGACTATTATTAAAATAAAAAAACCTTACTTATTTGCTTAAGGTTAACAAAAACAGTTACAATTGAAGTTTGCAAGCAAACCGCATTTTTTGCAAAATTATTAAAAATGTCGTTTAAAGAGGGATTATCTGTTAAATGAGTACATTTTTAAATATGAAAAAAATTCACTAAGTTGATAAATTCAATGCATTACAAAATTAAGCCAGTTGTCAATTTTGAAATATTTAGTCTTAACATTCTAAGCTAAAGCCTTTAAAAAACTTTAGCAATTTCTTTCTTTCTATGCATAGAGTTTTAATAATATGGTGTTAAGTTGTTAAAAAATTAAGACTCACTAAGACTAATAAAATAATTCATGACCACAACTGTGTTTAAGTTTTTGAATTAACCTTGCTTTTGGTAATAGAATTATTTTATGGCACTTGATTCAATCTCTTCTCACAAAAAATAAAACATTTGTTTAAATAAACAAATAGCTAATTTTATTTTGATGTGTTTTTATTCTCATATAAAACTGTTTTATAATAAATTGATCTACTGATTCTGTCCTTTAAGTAGAAAACGATCTTTGAGGAGAGGTACTGCAGAGGTAGAACTAACTTCTGATGATAATAATTGAAAAGGCATCTAATATTTAAATTAAATGTTACATATAATAAATGACAATACATTTTTAAAATTAACTACACAAACTAATATTTTATATTGTAGCCAACAAACTTACCAGTTGCTCTGCTCATAAGTTAAAATGGTAAGCTATATTTTTATACCCATTTGATGCAAGACTTATGTACCATTCTTTAACCTGGATGGTATTGCATAAGTATAATTAACTTGTGAAGATGAGAATGAAATGGGCATTTATCTAATATATAAAATTAATAATAAATTATAATAAATATTTTAAAAACTTTATTTTTAAATATTTAGTCTAAATTTTATGACCACAAACAAGAAAAAGGCCTCGTCTATTAAACGAATTTTCACCACGCTCAGAACACACAACACACTTTCTCACCTTAGAGGCTTGAAGCTTCCTATCAGCTTTGCTGTGCAATTCAAAGTGTTTTAAAACAAGACGCAGCTTCTGTTTTTGATTTCTTACTGAATGCAACTGTCTTAATTCCTTATTTATACTATTATGCAAACACTCTCCCTCCTCTTCACTCAGCAACCCAATAGTTTTATGCAATTTTACAAAAAGTGGCACATTAAAAATGAGTTCATGCATTTTTCGCATGATACTTTCTTTTGGAAAGCAAGCATGAAACTCGATAGCAAATAAATATATATATTGATGAAGCTCAGTAATTTTGGCATCAGAAAGAAATTTTCGCTTAAAAAGAATAGCTTGCAACTTATTAAAAACACTAAACACACGTACAAATCTATTTTTAATAGCTTCATCATCAAAACACTACAAAGTTTATAGTGGTTTAAGACTATTTTGCAATGATTACTCACAAACACATTACCATGGTACGCTTGTCCCTCAACCTTCATATCTTCAAGGGCCTTATTAAGAGACCTCTCATGAGTCATCATGCTACTTTTGGATATTTTTTCTAGGTCTTCACACTCCATCTGCAATTTAATATATTCAGTGTCTAAAACTTCGCGTTGTGCACGTATAAAAGAAATTTTTTCAGAAATATAAAGGTCAAGACATTCTATATCTTCACCCTGACACGCAAAACACTCGTACATCTCTATGTCACACAATACACTCTTTTCTGAATCACCAATAATTTCACAATATTGATGAAACCATCACACTGCACCCAGTCAACGTTACAATCATATTTAGTAATTAAACACCTGATACTAGCACACATTTCTTGCTGTTTACAGTTTTTTTTTTTATTGGAGGAGTTTAGGGATATCTTTTCTAATTCGGAAAAATTGTTATTAAAAGCCAACCATCGCGCCTTTAGATTTGCAATGTCTACAAATTGATTTCCTAATAAACACAAAGTTTCTGCTGTTTTAGAACATTCAACGCTTTTAGCAGCCCACAATTCATTGGTTCTCACATTCTCATTATGCGACAAAGACAAATCACCTTGACAATCTAAAGTCTTACACTCCTTCAACAATAACTTATACAGTTTTAACACAACTTTTAACATAATATGTAAAACAGGTGGCACTACATTATTTAAAGTTATTATGGGGAATATCACAGGAGCAATAATTGATTTATGAAACTTACCTAGAGCTCTTAAGTTTCCACCTTGCCTATTTTCACACAAGTTCTCATTGTAAGCACTTTCCAGAGATTGGATTGTCCTCCTTAAGATGTTACAATTAGCAGGTGTGTGAGGCATAGAAGCATGGCTTCTAAGAGATTTCAATTCAACTAGATCTGTAGAACTAGGAAAGCTAGCAGCTGAACCCTGGTGTCCCACAACATCATCGATGAAATGAAAATCTCCACCTAAGAACAACCTGACTATTTTGCCTTTTAACGTAAAATCTGGCGACTGAATTCTTTTAATGTCGTTGGCATAATGCCCGAGAATTAAGGCAATATTCTCACGACAGTCTGAACCCTGATACATACAAAACAAATGAACATCATATACAGACCCTGACGATTTCGAATTGACAACTTCAAAATGGAATTTCATATACTTTCCACCTTTATCCCCAGCAAAAAGGAGCCATAGCTCTTCGCCAAAACCAACATCCGAACTAAGGTGGTCGCGTACGTGAAGACTATTAAAAACCTCTTCAATATAAGTTGTCAAATTCTTGACCATCAGTACAGATACTAAACAAGGTGCTTCATTCGCAGATGGATAAAGTAACATGGACTTCACAGTGACATGTTCTTTATTGACATGCATTGTCCGCATTTCTTGTTCTTGTCTAATCTTGGGCTCAGAGGCGAGAATCCTTGCACCAAGATTACACAAAATACGTCTTAGCCTACGAAATTCAGCCATGGGCATCCTTAATTGGCACTGCAGCTCTGCAGTATCAGAAACACTTAATTGCCTAACTAAACCTAACTTATTTGCAACATAATAATATATTAACTTTTCACAAGACATAGAATCACAAAACAACATAGACAAATCAATTTCAAAATCTGAACAAGCTAATAATCGAAGGAATATAAAGGCAAGTTTAGATCGTCTAGCTGCAGCATGCTTACCTAACTTAAAATAAGGTTTACCATGTCCTAACTTAATGTAAGTGTATTTTTTACCAACTATTGGCCTTTTAATTGATATAGTCTGTGGATTACTTAATTTAAATCTACAGAACAATTCAGAGGAATTAATGTTGTCATAGTCTAAATAAGAATCAACAACAACTAAATTCTTATCACCGCTTACAAGACATTTGCAAATTTGGCAACCTTTCTGGTTTATATCACTATTTTTTGTATTATTTTTTTCAAATGTAATTTTTTTTTAGCAAAACTGACATTTTTGGCACGAGCAGATGCAAATTTGCGCTGTGCTGTTTTAATTTTTTTTTTCAAAACAAGTTGGAACTGCTCCTCCTGTTTTAGCCTAATACGCATAGTCTCTACTTGAGAACATAATGAGTTACAATGTGTGCTAAGAGCCTTATTTTTAGAATTTAAATTACAAATTTCAGTATCCAACTTTAATAACTGCGATTTTAATTTCTCTATTTGCTCTACATTTGTTTTATTTTCAGAAGTCAATTGGTAAACTTGACTACTTAGTTCCTTATTCCTATTTAAAAATAAAAAATCATCTGCATCTGCTGAATTTTTTTTTTTTTTTGTAGAGTCGGAGACAGTTGCATTTTAAAAAAGGCTTCGTTTTTTGAAGCTTTAAAATTTTTTTTTAAAAAGTTTTTTTTTGCGTATTAAATTTTGGCACATATTATCCAACTCATCAAAACAAATTAAAGTCAATTGGCAATATAAAGCTCATTAAACTAAACAATGCTTTTGACTTAAAAACTAACATTAAAATTGAAATTACATTGTTAGTCATTTTATCAATGCTAATTAATCGCTTAACAAATGGAAAGTTACACTCATTTTCCCAACTATCATCCCATTCAATCCATAGTTTTAAAATTTCCCTTTCAGTAGAATACATAATGATAAATAAATCTCGTAATAAAAATATAACAAACAATGCAAATAAAATAATATTTATTGACAAATAGATGAACAAGATATAATAGGATTCAAAAACTTATCTGATGTTAGTTGATTACCCACGAGAAAAAAAAACTGCCTAACTTTGTTTATTTTATACTTCAGAATTTGTCTCGCTAAGAAAGTTGTTTTCATAAAATTCATTAAATATTTGCTTGGGACGTATAGTACTTAAGGTCACGTGATTGTTTTAAAATGTAAACAAAGTTTTATGTATAAAACTAGAAAAATTTGTTTCTAAACTAGCCAAGTTTAAAAACATATTTCATAACATAGCTAGAGGTACAGAAAACGATTTTTTGATATTTATTTGCGGAAAGGGTTGAAATTTCAATAATTTGGTGCGGATTACAAAAATAATACGATTTTCACAATCTAATAATAAAATTAAAAATATAAATGCATTAAAAAATAATGAAAAAAAAAAAAAAATTAGCAATCCGCACCAAAAATTAGATAGAATAGACATTTATTTATGAATGTTCCAAATTTCAACCATTAGGCATGTAGCTATGTTATGAAATCTTAGTCGACCCAAGACAGGTTTTCCGTAAAAATCACAAAAAACAGAAAAGTGATCCCAAATCGTTAGCAATATTTAAACAATAAATATCTTTATTTTGTTTAATGTAAATATTTATTTAAAAAAAAAAAGATAGGTCTTATATTTTCTTTATTTGAAGATGAAAGCGCTTATAGGAAAAAAACACTATTTAAAATTATTGTATTTTTAAACTTTTTTGCGGAAATACTTTTTTTTTTGATAAACACAAAAAAAACTGTGGCGTCAAGCTCGTTTTTTATATTGAATGAAACAGCCGTGACTCCTCTGCGATGCTCTTTGACTAGACCGCAAGAACTTCTTAGGGCACCTTAATAACCAAATTTTAAAAAAATCAACTTCTTTTTAGGGACAATTTGTTATGCATAATGCACCTTTTTTCAATATTATATTGTTTTCAGCTTTTTTGACCAATTGTTTCGTATTGTTACATACGTGTTGGGGAATACTCTTTTTTGATGCTATGGATGCAAAAAAATGGAAAACTGTGTTGTTTGTTTGCACTAGTCATCTTGCAATCTCTCTTTTGGTAAGATGATATTTTAGCGCTTTCTTTTGGTAAATTGATTTTTTTAATTCTATGATTTGCTATTAATAATTAGTTAAATTTTTTTTTAGACTTTACTGAATAAACACTATACATATTGGCCTTCCTTAATAACTGGTTATATCCTTCTTGTCGTAATGGGTATATGGAGTTTCCGCGTTGTTGGAGGAAGTTCAAATAATTTAACTCAGCTATTTAAAAAGAAAGATTCTTCTTAGTGTTAAATAATCAAAGTTACATCTACTATGGATGATAAATTTATAATAAAGCTACATCTTCTATGAATAATAAATTAATAAGTCGCATAATTTATTACAATATTCTAGGAGAAGAAATAACCCGATTTAGCTGTGCTATTAAGAGTGATTAATTTAGTAGTTTATTTATATATATATAATTATTTTTCTTTTTGTGATATTTGAACATAAAAAAAAAAAAAAATTACTGAAAAATATTTTAATCTCACGTATAAAAGGTAGACGATGTACAAAACAGTTTGTTGGTACAATAATATTATTAAGTTCCATATCTGAAAAAAAAAAACACGTACAACAAGACATACATTTAATTATATCAATTTAAACATACATTTTACGTTTTATAGACTATATATAATTAGTTATTAAGTGTATATACAGGGTTGCCACTCAACCTGGAAAACCTGGAATACCTGGAAATAGTATTAATCTCAGGGAAAACCTGAAAAACTCAGGGATTTTTTAAAATTCTCATAAAATTCAGGGAAAACTCAAGGAAATTTTTTTTTTTTTTAAATTTTGTACAATAATTTTTTTTTTTCAAAAATTTTTGGTAATACATATAATAATAAGTTTGCAAGATGTGGGTATTGTTGTAAAAGTTTTAGTTTGTCAAATATAAAGATTGTGTTTAATTAAGGAAAATAATAATCTCGTTGATGAACAAGAAAGAATATAGAAAAGTCAGGGAAAACTCAGGGAACTTAAAGAGTTCAACTCAGGGAAGACCGTTCTTTACTCAGGGAAAAACTTTAAAAATTATAGTGGCAACCCTGTGTATATATATATATATATATATATATATATATATATATATATATATATATATATATATATATATATATATATATATATATAATAAAAAGAAAATGACTTGCTAATTTTCCATCTTTTCGCTATAAGCCATAAAAACAAAATGGTTTATAAATTTTTTGAATTCGAAAATGATTGAAAAGTATAGATCAGTAGAGTACTAAAACAAAGCTTAATATTTAGTAATCTCAATGTAGAAAATATCACTCCCGATTTTGTAGATCATTCTGTAAAATTTTGTGTAATAACCATTCTGTAAATTAAACAAATTTTGAGGAACAAACAGGTAAAGTTAACGCTAAAGTATACCCAAATCATGTATGCCCAAGTTTCCAAAATTAACTTTTCTAAAAACACACGGTTATATAAATTATACAGTTATTGCCTAGGAAACAACAAAAAAGAAAGTTACAACCTCCTTATCGCCGAAAGAAACTCGCGATCGATAAATCTATTTATATCTATCGATAGATATAAATACAAATTATTGTTTTTATATTTGAAGACAACATGAGAAAAAATATCAGAATCGCATTTTTTCATTAAAAGAAAACTCAATACTAAACTAACTATATTAAATAACCATATTTGTTTACAATTAAAATTATATTTCTTACTTATGTGCAATAATTTTCATTTTAGACTTTCTTTTTTAAGTGAAGTTTTTTTCCTGGTATAATGACTTGACAAGTTTTTAAATAAAGTAAAACGCTAAATTAATAATTTTTTTTTTATATTAGCTTATAAATAAAATTAGACAAGAGCTTATTTTATCAAACAACTTCGCCCAAATAATATAATATCAACCTTATTAAAGTATTAGGGCTTTGTTAATAATACTTTTGCTAACTTTGCCCAGACAGATGTAACAAAACTGTATATACAAACAAGTATTTATTAAAACGAGCTAACCCAATGGTAAGTATTTAATAAAAAGAAGTGGCTAAGGCCAGTAGCAAAATTAGAGTTTTTGAGGCAGTTAAAATTACAACAAATAGTGCAGTAAATTAAAAAATAAATCAAAGCACTTATGCTATAAATAGAGAAAAAAGTTAGATCTTATCGTCAAAATTTATAAAACTGCAAATATACATACCATATGTGTGTATATATATATATATATATATATATATATATATATATATATATATATATATATATATATATATATATATATATATATATATATATATATACATATATATATATATATATATATATATATATATGTATATATATATATATATATATTTAACTAAAATAATTGCCACTGCTGATGTAAGCCATGCTGAACAAACTACGTTTGTCATTCGATATTTACATAAAGAGAAACCTGGAAAATTTTCAATTTGTGAGCGGTTTTTGATCTTTGCAGATTTTGCCAAGAAGACTGGATCTGATATTGCAGGATTAATTCTAGAAGTTTTGGAAATTTATGGCTAAGGTTATTAACAACCACAATTAAAACTTATTTATCATATAATAATTAAATAATTTATTATGTTTAAAGCAACATGTAAAAAGTTAACAGAAAAAAACTGAAATAATTTTAAATGGAATCAACATTTTAAGCAGATATTAAAAGAAAAGAGTTAAGTTACTTGGTGTGATTTTTAGATTAACAACTAAAATTTAAAAATCAAATAGATTCCGTAGTTTCCAAATTTAGTTCAAGGCTGCGTTTATTAACTTGTGCAGATTACAGACTACTAAAAGTATTACAAAAAATGGCTTGTAAGAACGTCTTGTAAAAAACCAAATGGAATTTGCCAGAGTATTATTTTTACACCACTTGCCAAAACATTAATCAAAAGTCTTAATTATTTGATGTAACCCAAAATAAATCAACAAGAATTGTATGTCGTGCTCACTAATTGAATCACTTAAGTTAAATTTTTTGAAAAAAAAAAAAACTAACCAAATCTCTTATGTTGTCTATTCTCAATAAAAATTGTCACCCAGCATTTAAACGTCTGAAGAACATAAAGAACAATCTTGAGATTACATCAATTTTTAAAAAAATTGATGCAGTCTCAATTTTTCTTCAAAATCTTTATTTCAAAATTTCAATCTTTAATATTGAATACACTAGTATACCAGTGTAACTTGTGCCTGAACCAAAAATATTTTTAAAAAACAGAACGATCTTAAATGGCAGAATTAATAGTATAAAAACTATTTTTAGCGATAATTCACTCAGTTGATAGGGTAAGTCAAGTTTAACTTTTTTTTTTTAAGGCACTAAAAACTTTAATAATGAACATATCCTGAAAATGTAAAGCTAAAATAATGATTTTTTATTGAGATATGATTGTTTTCCTCGAGCTACTCATAAAAAAAAAAAAAAAGAAGTTGATAAAAATCAATTTTAAAATTAAAAATTCATGTACACTACTCAGATAAATCACCAGCGCAAAAATCTTTTGCAGGTATTATCGAGAAAAGTATATATTTACTATTGAATTCTACAAGGTTCAATTGTCAATAATAAATATTGTCAATAATAAATAATAAATTGTCAATAATAAATAACATTTTTTCAAATTTTTTTTTTCCCGATTTTCGCCGAAATAATGCAAGGATACCCTAATACGTTTTTTAGACGTCTTGTGCCCACTTGAGGTTTACACTAAGTTTCAAGAGTAGCTATTAAAGTTAAATTAAAGGAATATATTCTATTTTAACACGAAAATCGATATCGCATTGTTGGTTCAGTGGTAGAATTCTCGCCTGCCACGCGGGGGACCGGGGTTCGATTCCCCGACAATGCACGTTTTTGGATAAAAATATATATCTAATAGATAGATTTTTATTAAGCGACGTAAACCGGCTGTATTATAGCTATATGTATAAAATATATTAAAGCCCATATATAAAAGCCTATATATAAAAATAAAGTAAAAATATAAAAGATTACTAAAGATACTCTTACTCTTCTTAGTTTTAATTTTACTATAAAAGTAATATTTTAACTTCTAGCTGATTTCCGTAGTGCTAAAATGTGCGCTTATGCACTTCAGTAACCTTTATATAAATGTAACTTATTTCAAATAACTATGGTTATCATGACATTTTACATTTTGAAGCAAGAAAAACTGGACGAGAAAAAATTTTAACGAGTCTTTTTTGTACATTTTTTACGACTTTTATCATGAATGGATCCATTCCAGAAATATTTTGGGATAAAATAGATTCCTCTCAGAACATCTTCACTTTGCAGTGGACTCTGACACAATTTACAAAAAAAATTTACGGTCGCTGAATAAAAATCTCTCCGTTAAATAATAAATTAATGTTCATAAAAGAAAAATGTGCATTGTCGGGGAATCGAACCCCGGTCCCCCGCGTGGCAGGCGAGAATTCTACCACTGAACCAACAATGCGATACGTGTTTAAGGAAAACATATTATTAAAATTCTAACTTGACTTTTGAAAATATTAAACTTTTTGAATAAAAAAAATAAATTAAAATACTTCTTTCATCATTTATACTTAAATCTTATCACCTGCGTCTTTAATATAAGAAAAAAATAACTAAAACATCATCGTGATGATGTGTCAACTGTTGCTTGCATTTATATGTGAGAAAATTATTAGTGTTTTTAGTGATATTTTTCCTCTGACTAAAAATAACTTGTCTTCCTTTCAGAGTTGTTAGTCCTCGGCCTTAACCTTGCCTTAAGGCCAAAAATTATAGTCTTGGCCTTAAAATTTTTGGCCTTGACCTTGATTGTTTTGGCCTTGGCCTTTATAATAAAATATATAAAGTTAAAGAACTAAAAGTCTTCATTCTTTATTTTACATAATTAATTGCGTAATTAATCATTCTTTATTTTACGAAATTGCTTTATTAACGTAAGGCAAAAATTTAAGTCTTTGGCCTTGAAAATGTTTGCATAGGCGTTGACTTTGAAACTGTTATTCTTGGCCTTGGCCTTGTAACATGTAGTCTTGGCCTTGTCCTTGGTCTTGTAACCTTTGGCCTTGGTCTTGGCCTTAGCCTTGTAACATGTGGCGTTGGCCTTGCTACTTTTGGCCTTGTTAACAACTCTGGTTCCTTATAAGCAGTGGTGTTTTTGGCGCCGTTACTTTATTCAAATTTACTAGTTAAAAAATATTATTATATGCTTTAAATTAAGATTTCAATATTATAAACTACGTTAAGTCTAACTAAGTTACGTTACGTTTAGCTATATAGCTACGTTAATTTAACTATTTTTGATCAGTTTAAAAAATTT